CCTGGGTGATGGAAGGGCCAGCATTGCTTTGAACCCAGTTTCCATGCTCCCTGGCTATGTGGTTCTAGGCAGCTTCACCTGTGGGGCCCCGTCTTCCTGTCCCTTAGGCGGGAAAGGGTAAGGCCACCCCCTGAGGAGCTGCTGAATGGGCCATGTCTGTGTCCCAGCCAGGAGTGAGCCCGGTCCAAAGGAGTCCCAGCAAGTTAGCAGTGGCTGGTCCCATGAGCCCAATGACAGGCACATGACAGGTCCCCAGACAGCTAGCTTCCTGCCCTGCTCATGCAGTGCACATGGGCTGTGCAGGAGGCAGGTGTCCTAGAGGCCATGCTGCTGCCCGGTGACCGCCTACATCACCACATGGGGAGTCTCCTGCTGTGCTGCCTGGGTGGGGAGGAGGCCAAGCCCTGGGGAAAAGGGACAACATCCTCAGGTGGGCCTGGCAGGAGCAGGGCCCTGGCAGGGAGCTGACCTTCATGGCATGGGTGGCCTGCAAAATGAGAGGCTGACTCGGCACAGGAGCCCAGCCCCGACTCCCCGCAATGGAGGCACAAACAAAACCTGCGAAGGTGTGACCTCCCACTCTGGGGAGAGTGAGAGGAGTGGGCAACCTGGAAGGCCAGGACCCAAATGGGATGACGAACACAGGCCTGTGGCAGAGAATGCAGCACCTGTCCTGGGTGACTGGGGACCACTACTAAGGGCACGTCACCTCCAGGGAGGCCTGGTGCCCTTCTAAGGAGCACCCCTGTAGTACTTGCGCATGCATTCATTCGTTCATTCATTCACTCTAGGCTGCTGCCCACTCCACAACAGCCACGCAACCTCCAGGCCTGCCTCAGGGAGGCCCACATCTCCCGGGCAGCCTGCCCTACCCCGGCAGCTCTGAGCACCACAAAGCCCTTGCCCAGTTTGACCACTGTGGTCCCTCAATGGCCCAACATGGGCATAGAGACCTAGCATGCTTACAGCAGGTCTCTCCACGCAGCACAGGGAACCAGCTCCAGGTCCTTCTCTTGGGGCACCCCTGGCCTCCACACATTTCATGTCAAGAGATCCTGAGTTGTGACAACTACTTGCGTGCAGGAGCTGGGTGAGCTCAGTGGTGAGTGCTGGCCTAGAAGGTGCGAGGGCCTGGGTCCATCCCTAGCACCACACAAACAAAAACAAACAGGCACTCGAAGTGCAGGAATTTGGAGCGGCCACTGCTTCCAGAGCCATGAGTGTCTGTGGAGGCCAAGGTGGAGAGAACACACAAGGTGGCAGGTCAGGAGGGCAGGACAGATCTCCCAAGATAGTGCCTTGGGGGATGGTAGGGGGAGTGACACAGAAGAAGCACTGTGAGATGCACATGTGCTATAGTGTGATACAGAGGCAGAGCGGAACACAAGGGACAGGAAACAGGCACTGCCTGATCCAGGTCCTCTGACACGGTGAGACATGGATGGGGGTCAGGGCTAGTGATGGCAGGAAGGATAAACAAGACTTCCATAAGTCTCTGGGCAGGGGTGGTGGGGAGGACCCTGGGAAAGGGGCACCTTGAGGCAAGCACGACCTCAGGCACAGGAGTGTGCACTGTCAGTGAGACCCCCGGCAAGGTGATCAACTGGCTGCTGACCACATGGGCCTGCAGTTCAGGAGAGCTTTGGTCACCAGCAGCCAACTGCATTTAAGTCCCCAGGCCACAGAAACGTGTGCCCAACTGTTCCCAGAAGCTGGACTTATCACAGGCAGAGTAGAAACAGGCCAGTTTCAAGAATGGATAAGGGGACCCACACAGTGTGGTCCACCCACATGCTGAAGCATCCCACAGCCATAAGCAGGACGACACCCTGACCCATGCTACACTGTCTTCAGTGAGAACCAAACACCCAAGGCTCCAAAGCGTGTGACCCCACTGACAGGGCTTCCTTTGGGGTGATGGAATGTTCTGAAAGTGGAAGTGGTAATGACAACACAACGAAGTGAACATATAAAAACCCAAATTGAGTGGGGTGCCAGTAGCTTACATCTGTAACCCTAGCTACTCAGAAGGCAGAGTTCAGGAGGATTTCAGTCAGAAACCAGCCCAGGCTGAGACCTTATCCAGGAAAAACCAACACTAGAAAGGGCTGCTGGAGTGGCGAAGGTGGTACAGCACCTGCCTAGGAAGTGTGAGGCCCTGAGTTCAAACCCCAGTGCTGCCAAAACGAAAGAAAAATCCAAATTGTACATTTTTAAAGTGAATTGTGTAACATGAGAATTACAGCTGCATAAACTGCTACCACTAGAACGAGGGGGAAGCTGAGAGGGGGGGCTCACCCCCTCAAGCCTTTTCGAGGTGGGGTATGCCACTGCTCACAACAGTGACTGAGTGGCTAAGCCAGACCAAGGGAACAAACAAGGGAGGAGACTGAAGCAGTAAGTGGTCTCTTGTCAAGGGACCCAGGACCTATGGCCCTGGGGCAGGACCATGCCACACAAGGTCCCAGCTCCCACCACTGCACTTGCTGCACAGGTGCCTGCCCTCAGTCCCCAAGGTGGGTCCTGCAGGGCCACAGTGAGGTGTGTACAATGCAGTAGCAGGTGGGGCTGATCAGTAAGAGGCCATTGGTGGACCACTGGGAGTGGCCACAGGGAGGGGAAACCAAATATTCCCTTCCCCATTAGCCATCAGCAAATTCTGGGGAACTCTGGCCCCACCAGGGTGAAGCCCTACTGAGACAGAGCGGAACCCAGATGGCTACAGTCAGCGCCCTCACAGGACCTACAAGGGTGGGCTCTTAGGCACTGCAGACATCAGGCTGGGTGCTTCTCTGGGGGCGTCCTGGGCCCTGCAGGGTGCTGAGCAGTGTCCCTGGCTTCCACCCACTGCATGCCAGGAGCTCCCCAGTCCTGACAGACGCATGTTTCCAGGCATGGCCTGGCTGCTGTGGGGGTGGCAGGCCCAGCTCTAGGGGAAAGAACTCGCGGGATAGTGTGGTATGACAGTTCCTAAAAGAGCAGCCCTCCACCCCAGGACTGGCCCCAAACTCGACTTTGGACCCTCATCCCTCTATGTGGCCTACCGCAGAAAGTCTCTACAACCGACCCTATGCTAGACCTCCCAAGCCCAGAAGTGTCCAGGACACAAACCTGCCGGGCTAGGAGGCCCAAGACCTCCTGCTGAGAAAGGCCACTGTGAACATCAACCCCACCTGGAAGGCCACAGGCTGGTTCTGTTGGTTTTTTGAGAAAGGGTTTCACTGTGTAGCCTAGGCTGGTCTGGAACTCACCATCCTCCCAAGTGCAGGGATTACAGACGGGTGCTCCGCACCAGGCTTTTTCATCTGCTCTTAGACACCTCTGTCCCTACCCCAAAAACAAGCCCATCCCCAGCCAGCAGGGGGGGTTTAGAGATTCTATTTGAGCTTCAGTCCCAAGAGCAAATGAGGTGGCACAACATGGCTGAGACACCCCCATCCCTGCAAAGCCAGGAACTAGAAGACCAGGGCTATGGCTTTGGAAGGAGAGCCTTGGTCCTAACAGCCTGGCATCCTGACGTGCCTGTATCTAACCCTCCACGGGGCTGGCACACCTGCTCCCACCTCCATTCAAAAGGAAACAACAGTCAAGCACTACCAACACCCACTGCGCCCTTGACACAGACTGAGAATTCAATTTCACACAAAATGCCCTGAGATATGTTCCCCACGTGCTCCACTCCAGGGATAGCCCCAGGGGACATGATCAGGGTCCAACGTGTCCCATGAGAGACCACGAACCTCTTTCATTCCCAAGTCCCCCTTTCAGGCCCAGAACGGGGATGAAGGGAGCTTGGATCCTGGGGTGGCGGTGTGTGTTATGGGCAAATCACCCTCATTCATTCAAAGTACAGGAAGACGCTGGGGTGCGCAGCCTCACCAGCCAGAGGGATGAGATCACCACGTGGAGGATGGGGTGGGGGATCTGCCTCCCAGCCAGAGGTGTGCCCCAAACCAGGAGATGAGTTTTGGGTGGAGAAAGCGACGAGAAAACAAAACACGTTTTGGGTAAACATCTGCGCATGGGTGTGTCTCAGGCTTCAGGATGGGGACAGGTGTGAGGATGATGAGGAACCACGGGCTTTAGCAGGGGAAACAGCTGAGTGGGGTGCACACTCTACACAAGGGGCTTCTACTAGAGACAGGCTAATGTTTGGAGGCACAGGATGGAGGTTCAGATAGGAAGGGGGAGGAGTTGGGCACAGACAGGCTGTCTTGGGTTTTGGTGGGGCCACTGCTCAAATGGGAGGGCTAGATGTTGGGGACTGCTGAGGTGGGCTGGCACAGCCAGGGGTAATGGGGGAGCAGAACTCAGAGGGGCCTGGAGGGAGGGGACATGGATGCTGGTTCACACCTTATCAGTCGCTGTGCTGCATGGGTGACCCTGGCCAGGCCCGGTACATACAACGGTGACCTGGGACAAATAAGGTCCCAAGCACCTAAGAGTCTGGACGTTCCTGGGTGTCGAGGGATCAGACTGCATTTTACTGGGGAGGCTCGGGACTTTGGGGGCAGTTTGACTGTGGGGAGGGTCTGACTGGAAGAGTCAGAATGTGGAAGTCACCCAGTTTGACAGGCCAGAGAGAAATAACCCGGGTGAGGAAGATGTGGGTCGCTGGTCTAGCGCTTTTGAGAAGCCAGATGAGGTCCCCTCTTTGGGGTTGGCTGAGCTCAGTCTAACATTTAAAAGGATGGTGGGCGCCGATGGCCTGGGAGGAGGTCACGGCATGCAGGGGGCTCAGGGTAGGGGTAGCGCAGGGCCTGTTTAGGCGGGATGTTCAGATTCGGGGTCAGGACGGGGAAGATGCTGAGGTCACCGGGCCTAGCGCAGCCCGGCGAGCAGCATCCAAGAGGGCTGTCTGCTCATGGAGGGGACCGAGCTGGAGAGGGGGTCATGGCCAGACCGTAGACTCGGTTTTGGGGTGTCGCGGCCAACCCCGCCGCCCCGCCTCGGACCCGGGGGGGCGGGTCTCCTCACCCCCCCTCCCCTGGCCGCCTCACCTGGCTCGCTGCCGTCGCCCGCTGGTTCCCGCTGGCCCCGCCTCTCCCGGCGCTGCGCTGCACCCGCCTCCGGCCCCCGCAGCTCCGCCAGACCCGGCCGCCACCGCCACTGACGGGATCCCCGGCTCCGCGGTCCCTAATATGGCGGCGTTCGCTACTCCGCGGCCTCCCGGCTCCCTCCCTCCGCCGCGCGCGCCCCGACCGCCGCGCGCGCCCCCGCGCCTCGGCCACGCCCCCGCGCCCGGGCTGTGCGGGCTGAGGACCAGGCATGCCACGCCCCCTCGTGCTCCGGACCTCGCCGGCCACGCCCACCTTGCGCAGCTGCGCTTGCGCGCGTGGAGCATCTCGGGAGGACGTGACGTCTCCTGCGATTCGAATCAATACAGGAAGAGCGGCACCACGCGTTGCTAAGGGCAACCGCTGCCAGAAGGGGACAGTAGGAGGGCGGAGGCTGCGGGGAGAATAGGGGAAAATGGCTCTGCTCAGTGGAGGGAGTGGCTCCTATTTGGGGAGCAGAATTGTACCCTCAAGAGAACAACCAGAGCCGAGCACACAGCACAGTGAGGCAGTCACATCGCATAATAAGAACAGACGGAAACCAACTGCTGAGACTTTCATTCATTCATTCAACAAACACTTATTGTTTATCCATTTATCCATTGAGTACGTCTCTAAGCCCTAATGATACATCAGGGAACAAACGGGATAAAAGATTCCTGCTCAAAAAGTGGCAAAGGTTCTGAATAGACATTTCTCCAAAGAGGATATGGAAGTGTCTGACAGGCACACGTAAAGGTGCCCAGCGTCTTAAGTACTTATGTAAATGAAACTCAAAACCACAGTGAGATGTTGGTGCACGCCTACTAGGATGGCTTCAGTTCACAACAAATCAGAGCAAACGGAAAAAGGGAAAAACGGAAAGAAAGCATTGCGAAGGATGTGGGGAAATAGGAACCCTCCCACACTGCTGCTGAGATTGTAAAATGGTGCGGCCCATGTGGAAAACAGTCTCACAGTTCCTACAAATGTTAAATATAGAACCAGCATATGACACAGCAGTAATACTCCTAGGTATCTGCCCAAGAGAAATAAACACAGACCTCCACGCAAAAACTCCTACCCAAATGCTCCTAGCAGCACATTCAAGGAAGACAAAAAGTGCAAATAACCCAAACAATCCCTCACCTAACGAATGGGTGGTGCTGCATTCCTACAATGGAATTTTTTTTTTTTTTTTTTTTTTTTTTGGTACTGGAGTTTGAATTTAGGGCTTGCACTCTATGAGCCCAGCCCTGGATATTTTGTTATTTCACAATAGAAAGGAACGAGGCTCAGACAAAGACTACAAAGTGGATGGACTTTAAGGACATGGGGCTGAGGAAGAAAAGCCAGACAGGAAAGGCCAAATGTATGGTGCCATCAACAGGAAACATCCAGAACAAGCAATGGGGATGGGGTTTACTTTGGGGGTGATGGAATTTATTGTGTGAGGACTGGGGGTGTAGCTCAGTGATCAGGACAAACAAATTAATAAAATTATTGTGTGGTAAAGATTGCACAACCCTAAGAATATATCAAAAGCCACTAAATTCACTGGGGGTGTGTCTCAAGTGGTAGAGGACCTGGCTAGCAAGCTTGAAGCCCTAATTTTAAACCCTAGTACTGCTCCCCCCAAAATCCCCACACACTGAATTAAACCCTATACATGGGCAAATTGTATGGTGTGTGGATTATATGCCAATAAAGCTTACAAAAAATTCCTGTTGAAAGACTGGAGGTGTGGCTCAAGTTTAACAAGCACAAGGCTCTGAGTTCAAACTCCAGTACTACAAAAACAAAGAAAAAAAGCCCAGTCCAGAGTTGAATTATGTTATGGAGAAAACAGAGAAAGGAGAGATCAGGGGCTCAAGTTTCAAGTACAGTGCTCAGGGCAGGTCTTGCTGTGGAGACAAGGTTTGGGCAAAGATCTGCAAGAGAATCATACACCAAGCCGGGCATGGTGGTACACATCTGTAATCCAGGCATTTCAAAGGCTGAGGCAGGAGGATGGAGAGTCCAGGACAGCCTGGGCTACATAGTGAGATGCTGTCTCAAAAACAAATCAAAAGCTTACATTGTGGTAAAATAATTTCTATTTGTTCCTTTTTTAATTTATCTGTACTGGGGTTTGAACTCAGGGCCTTCACCTTGAGCTACTCTACCAGCCCTTTTCGAGATTGGGTCTCGTGAACTATTTGTCCTGGGCTGGCTTCAAACCGTGATCCTCCTGATGTCTGCCTTCTGAGTAGCTAGGATTACAGATGCCCAGCCATATATTGCTTTTTCTGGGAGCCACTGGTGCACAGCGATATATTGTTTTTTTTTTTTTTTTTTTTTTGAGGCAGAGCCTCACTATGGAGCCCAGGCTGGCCTGAAACTTGCGATTTTCTTGCCTCAGCCTCTCAAATGCTGGGATCTTAGGTGGCTATCACCACACCTGGCTAAGATCACCAATTACTAATGAGGTACTTGTGTTATTTTCTAATGGACACAGCCCATCTCCACTTGGGTGCTAATGTTCACTGGAAATCTTTAATCTGTAAAGCAGGCACTCTATCACTTGAGCCACATCTCCAGCCCATTTTGCTATGGTTATTTTGGAGATGGAACAAAATGCTCTTGAACCACGACTCTCCAGATCTCAGTCTCCCAAGTAACTAGGATTACAGGCATAAGCCACCACGCCGGCCTTTTAGTTACATTTTTAAAGATTAAAAACTTGGTTCCAGAGTGGCATATGCTATATTTCAAGTGCTCTACAGCCATATCTGGCTAGTAACTACGATTTTGGATGGTGAAGATACAGAGTATCTCAGACAATTGTACTACACAAAGATGGTCCAAAACAGTGCCAGGCATGGAGAAGAGTGAAACATTGAATGGAGAAACATTGAATGGAGGCTGGATGTGGTGGTTCACACCTGTAATCCCAGCCCTTGGGAGGCTGAGGCAGGAGGATATTGAGTTCCAGGCCAGCCTGGACTGCATAGCAAGACTCTGTCTCAAACAACAGCAAAAACAAAAAATGAAAACCCAGCCACGTGATGCCAGAGGCAGAGGCTGAAGTGATGTGGCCTTAAGTCAAGGAACCCTGAGGATTGCTGGTCACCAGCATCAGATACCCACACCTCGGTTCTAGACTTCTGCTCTCCAGGGCTTGCTGAGAGTCAAGGAGCCGCAGAAGGGAGGATGCAGGTATCCTCCTATATCAGTGTCTCACAGGCCTGCAGAGGCTGCATGCCAACTTCTCTCACCAGCCTTGCTTGGGGGGTGTGGCTTTTGGTATCTACTTCCTGCACCCCTGGGCCTGTCTGCTCCCCCAGAGCATCCTGGGGGCTGATCACACCTGCCACCCTGCCCTGTGGTCTTCCAGAGCCAGCATGAGCTCTGGAAACAATAGCCTGAGCAGTGCAATATGGCTGAGGTGCTGTCCTGGCAAGTAACCAAGGACTGCAGGGGACCTGGTTATCTGTAGTCAACTTCCAAAAACCTAGGGAGGCAATGTGGACAAAAAAGCAATTGGGATGTCAACTCCCTGAGAACAGAGACTGTGTCTGTCTCATGCTGTGCCTGTGACAGTGTCTGGCACATAGTAGGTGCTCAGGAAAGATTAAGGTGATAAGCCAGGCATGATGGGGCATACCTGCAATCCCAGCTACTTGGGAGTTGAAGGTCAGGAGATTACAGTTTGAGTCAGGCTAGGCAAAAGTTAGCAAGACTCCCATCTAACTAACAAGTCAGGTGTGGTAGCCCGATCCTGTCATCCTAACTTTGCAGGAATTGTAAATAGGATTGAGGTCCAGGCCAGCCCATGCACAAACAGGAGACCCTATATGAAAAAGACCTTTTGGGTGCATGGGGAGGGAGCAGTAAAAATGAGCCAAGTAGAGTCTGGGGTATGGATAAGTGGTCTAGCCCTTGCCAGGCATATGTTAGGCCCTGTAGTTAAAAAAAAAAAAGGCATAGTGGCTCACATATGTAATCCCAGTGACAGATGGGAAGATGGGGAGGATTGAGGTTTGAGGCCAGCCTAGGCAAAGAGTTAGACCCTATCTCAATCAATAAACCAGGCATGGGTGTGCACCTGTAATCCCAGCTACAAGGGAGCCAGAGGTAGAAGGATTGAAGTCTGAGACTGGCCTGGGGCAAAAACTGCAAAACCTTACTAGGAAAAGCACTAAAGCAAAAAGGATTGGGGGCATGGCTCAAGTGGTAGAGTGCCTGCCTAGGAAGCTCGAGGCTGGGTTCAAACTCCAGTGCTGGGGTACCAAAAAAAGAAAAGATGAGCTGAGTGAAGTGGCTCCATGCTGATTTTGGTTCAGAAGTAGGGTGAGTAGTACAGAATGGCGGCTCCATTCTTCCAGTTACATGACAAACCTTGAACTCATCCTTGACAGGGTTCTCTCAAATTTCATATCCAATTTATCCACTTCTGCTCTACCTTCAATACTAATTCGGAATCTGGGTACTTCTGGTCTTCCTGCTTCCATTTTCCTTTCCTCGGCTTCTTTCCCATCATTCGGAAAGCTCCTGCTAACACTTAACTCAGGGCGTGTCATTTCCCTGCTCAGGATGCTCCACAAATGCTCACTTTGTCAGAAAAAAAGGCAAGCCCCTCATAGGTCTGGATCGCTCTTCCTCCAGACTATTCAGGGTTCTCTCCCTCACTTTTCAGGTTATTTTATTTTATTTTTGCACTTTATTCGAACGCCACCACCTCAGACCCTGGCTGCCCTTCCTAAAACTGGACACCCCATACGTAATACACTACCGTGTCTCTTTCTCCTTAGAGTGTGTCACAGTCCTAAGTGTTTTTACTTACTTATCTTACGTATTTCCTGTCTTCCACTGACCAGACTGAGTCTTATGAGAATAAAAGCGGACAATCTTGTCCTCAGTGGCCGTTCAGTATTGAACGAATAAATGAACGAGTGGATCATTTCCTAGTTTTAATCCCTCCCTTCCCTACTTCCTATTCCAGCCTCCGAGACACTGGCCACGCCCCTGTGCCATGGCCACGCCCCCGATCTTGACCACGCCCCGGATGCGCTTCTCTGGCTTCGTTCCAAGCATGCAGACCCCAGTCAGCGCGAAATGGCCACAAACCATTTCCACTTATTGTACGAGGGGGGGATGCCGGAGTGACTTTTCTTCCGGAGTGAAGGACGGAAGTTAACATTCCCCTAGTCTGAAGAATATCCTTGGACTGTTGCTGCTGTGTGGGTTTCAGTTATGTCACCTATACAGACTGGGCCTTCGGAGCCTTCCTCAGCCACGGGAGCCTTTGACAGAATTTCTCGCCCCCCCCCCCCCGCGGAAGTATTGGTGCCGCCCGGCTTGGTCACGTGGGCGGTAAGATGGCGGCCCACAAAGCGCGCTGCGAGTGTTACGGCTGGTGAAGCGATAGTGGTAGCGGCAGTGGCAGCGGCAGTGCAGGCCGGCGGCGGTGGGAGTTAGACGGCCTAGCTAGTCCTGCTTCTCGGAGCTCCACGGGGCGTTCCGGCGTCGGCGAGCACGGTGCGGGCTCGGGTCTGACAGGCGGGCATGGGGAGAGCGCCCCGTGGGGACATCTGGCCTCTGGGACTCTTGACTGGGGTCTGAAAGGTCTGGTCCTGGGGTCTCCGGAGTCCCTGCCACCTCTTCACCCCGGGTTTTGGGGACCCTGACTCCAGGGATTCCTTCGCTGGCGAATCTTGGGAGTCAGCGCGTAAGTGGCCCTTTCTCGGGCGACACTCTTCTCCGAGAGGGAACTAGTACTGAAGGATCCTTGAGACATGCGGTTCATGGGGAAGGGATGGGTCTTGGGGAGCCAGTTGTAGCGGAGGAATCCCGAGAGCGTCCCCCGGAGGGATCCCATGTCGGAGGACCCCTTTTTGGAGAGGTGGGGTCTACGGGAGATGTTGACGATTCTTGGTTTCGAGAGGTTTCCAGGAGGGGAGAGGGTCTCTTCTTAGTCATGTCTGCCTCTGAGACCTTCACGGAGGTGAGCGGATTCCTGCATTCTGTATTGGATGGGGCCGATCTCCTGCACCCCCATATGCCCACACCCTTAGACACCTCACCCAAGACAGGGCTTCCAGGTGGCTGGGTGCACTTAACACACAGGTGCAGTGCACTGCTGAGCTGTTAACTATCAAGTGTGCACCAGCGAACAAGGCTTTGCTTGGTTAAACAAGGTGGTTAAAGAAGGTAACTTGGGGGCTGTTTATGAATTTTTAAAAATTTTTTGTGATACTGGGGTTTGAACTCAGGGCCTCACACTTGTTAGACAGGTGCTCTACTACCTGAGCCACTCCACTAGCTATTTATTTATTTACTTATTCATCCCCCACACATACACCCACACCCACCCCGAGATAGTCTCCCTGGCTGACCTGAAACTCACTGTGTAGCCCAGGCTGACTTGGAACTTGCAATCCTCCTGCCTCAGTTGTGATTACAGGTGTCACCACCACACCCGGCCTTGTTTATGTTTCTGTTGCAAATGAAGACACTAAGCTGGGAGACTTTTGTCCTCTCAGCCCTAACAACCCTCCCCTCTGTTCTCATGGCTAGTAGCTCAGATCTCCCTGCTTTCCTGGGAGTTTAAGATCTGGTGCTGAGAAGGCAGCCGGAACCTTTCTGAGCTGACTTCACAGAGGCTTTGTACGGACTGAAAGAAGTGCCAGGCCCTGTCTGTCCTGGAGACGGTAACTGCTCCTTGCTCCTTATAAAAAAGGGTTGGGACGTGATGCTTTACAAAGCCGGCTCACACATCTTGTGAGCTCTGAGGAGCCCTTTTTCAAGGCGTGATCCTTTGATGGTCACCTGTGCTCAGGCAGCCATCCATCCCTCATTAAACCCAGGGAGCTCAGCTGACGCCACAGGAAACCATAGAGGGCCCGGGGCATGCCACAACCTGCTACCTGTCATGTCTGGGAAGCACCTGCCAGGTCCTCCACTGAAGTGGAGATCAGAAGGAGGCCTTTCTCCCAGCCTTGGCTGTATCATTTCATCTTCATTCACTGGTGCGACAAAGCATTTGTGAGCTGGGCATGGTGGCCACTCCTGTCATTCCAGCACTTGGGAGGCGGAGGCAGGAGGATGGTGAGTTCCAGACCAGATAGGGCTACAGAGCCAGATCTTGTCTCAAAAAAGAAAGTGTGTGTGATATGGAGCCCAATTGTGGAGCCACACTGCTTGGTTTCATAACTTTATAGACTTCCAAAGCAAGCATACCTCTGTTCTGCAAAATAGGGACAGTCCTGGTACAGATGTGACAGAGCCATGATGAGGTTAAGTGACCTGGTGAATGTGAAGGGCTCATCAGAGTGGCCGGCACAGAGCAAGTGCTGCATAAGTGGTAGCCACTATTGTTGTGGGTTTTTTTTTTTTTTTTTTAATCATCTACGGTGTGCACATTCTTCTGCTAAATGCTGGGAATACAAGGCTGGCGGTCTGTACCTTCAGAGTTCTATTCCACTGAGGGATAAGATCAACCATAAGTAGTTAAACAGTTAACATACAACCCACTGTTTAGTGGTGGGAAATGCTTTGAAGAAAAATTGAGGCAGAACTGGAAAAAGAGGTACAGGTAACATTGTAGGAAGTGATCAGGGAAGCCTTCTTTGAGGAGGTATCGTGGAGACCCAGCGAAGTGAGGATGAGCTGTGGGGCATTTGGGGAAGTGTGTTCCTCATGGAGAGAACACCAGCTGCAAAGACCCTGGGGCACAGTGGAGCCTGGTGTGTTGGAGGAGCAAAGAGGCTGGAGCAGAGAGAGGAGAGAGGGGACGCAGTAGGTTGTGCAGGACCTTGGTAGGGGGAGGGGGTTTGCTAAGGATTTTGGAGTAATTAGGAACTGGAGGGAGATTTTAAGCTGGGCAGTGATATGGTCCTGTTTGCATACTGAAAAGATTCCTGAATCAGTTATCCAAGCTGGGTAACAAATTACCCTGTACTTAACAGTGTAAGCACTGTCATGCACAGTCACCCTGTGCTTGGTTGGGCTAGGTGGTTCTGGTTCTGGTGACTGATGAGGCTGCAATGAGGACTGAGGCCTAGGCAGCCACAGCTGTCCCCACCCCATCTGTGGCTGCTGGTGGGAGCCTCAGCTCTTGCTCATGGGGCTGACCGTGGTTCCTCTAGAGACCCAGGGAGGAAGTGGCTGTGCCTTTCTACCCAGCCTCCATCATGTCTCCTGCATCCTGCCATTCACACAGTCACCCATTCAGAGTGGGCTGAGTACCAGGAAGGGGGATCACTCCAAGCTGGTAGCGTGGCTCAGTGGCAGAGCTTGAGCTTAGCATGCTGGGGGCTGCTAAGTGACCTGGAATATAGGGGAGAGGTGGTACAGAGATCAAGGCCCAGAGAGGGAAAGTAACTTCAGGGAGGCCACAAGTTGGCAGGTCACAGCCAGGACATGTGGCACCTCTCAGATGAGAAGCCACACCTAGGTCCTATGATGACCCAGCCACGAAGCTTGTCTCCAGCCCAAGCTCTCACTTTTCTGTTGTAGGTTCTTGCGGTGGAGGAGGGCTGTGGAGGCAGGTGCCATGGTGACAGAGCAGGAGGTGCAGACAATCGGGCAGATGCTGGTGGACCCCACACAGCCCCTGCAGGCCCGCTTCCGGGCGCTTTTCACGCTGCGTGGACTCGGTGGCCCCAGCGCCATCTCCTGGATAAGCCAGGCCTTTGACGATGGTTCTGCCCTCCTCAAGCACGAGCTGGCCTACTGCCTGGGCCAGATGCAGGATGCCCGCGCCATCCCTGTGCTGGTGGACGTGCTGCGCGACACCCAGCAGGAGCCCATGGTGCGCCACGAGGCTGGTGAGCAAATTCCCGTACCCTGGCTCATGGGAAGGCTGAGCATGTACGATCCCAGGCCCTTGGGCAGCCAGCATTCTGTAGAAAGTGACTGAGGTCCCAGCTGTGCACCACACAGCATCTCCCAGCAGCTGGAAGGCCCCCTCAGCCACTGCCAAGAACAGCCATGTAAGCACTGAGATTTGAATTTCATGTCAGGAAGTACTCTTCGTTTCATTTTTTGTTTATTTTGCTTTTCTTTTGTTGAGACAGGGTCTTGCTATGTTGCCCAAGCTGGCTTCAGACTCCCCTCTGGCTTCCCGCCATATTACAGAACACCGCTTTGTCTGTGCCCACTGCCACTGCATACTGGCATTCCCACTCCACTGTACTCCCAGCCTCAGGGCATTGGCATGTGCTGTGCCCCCTGCCCAAAGGCTGCCTTGGTCTGACTTGGCTAGCTGTGGTCACCAGGTGTAAGGACACATTGCTGGTGGGGTGGGGTCTATTTTCCTCATCTTTGCAGCTTCCTGTAGTTCTAAACAAGTCCAAATTCTGAAGAAGGGATTCTTTTTTTTGGTGGCCTGGGATTTGAATTCAGGGCCTCACGCTTGCTAGCTAGGCGCTCCTATTGCTTGAGCCACTCCATCAACCCTTTTTTGTGGAGGGTTTTTTCGATATAGCATCTTGAAAACTGTTTGTGTAGACTAGCTTCAAATCTCAAACTGCCTAATCTCTGCCTCCTGAGTAGCTAGGATTACAGGCGTGAACCACCAGCACCCAGCTGAAGAAGGGATTCTGATTGAGCCAGCACAGAGCCTGTGTGCACTGCTGCTCCAATCAGCCGTGGCCAGGGGCAGAACTGCCTGGAGGGGTCCTTGGCTAGAGGATTGTGAGGTGGTTGATTGCAAGGTACCATTTCCCAGCCCACTAACCAACTGGAGCTTTCTGGCTTGTTCTCAGGGGAGGCTCTGGGGGCCATTGGGAACCCAGAAGTTCTGGAACTTTTGAAGCAGTATTCTACTGACCCGGTGGTTGAGGTAAGGAGGCCTCCACCCCACCTTCTTGCCTGTCTGGGGTCCCTGGAAAACTCTACCCAGTCCTTCCTGGACCAGTCTTAGAACCTATCTGTGGTTGCCAGGGCAACCACTGGGTCAAGGATGCTGTAGGGATGAAGGAGGCAAGGGCAGCAACTGGATGGACACTTGCCGCTATCCCATCTGGCAAGACTTCAACAAGATCTCTCTCTAGCTGGCCCCATCCTGAGCCTTGAGCCTGCTATAACCCAGCCCAGCCTCCTCTCACTGCCCTTGTCCAGCCCCTCCGCCAAGACCCCCTGCTGTCTGCCTCCACCACCGCCCCTTGGCCTGTGGGGCCTCTTCAGGAGTCTTCTTGCGCCTTCCCCATGCCTGCCTTGTGTCCATTTGTGTGAATTAATTAGTTCACCCTTTAAAAGTGTACACTGAAGTGGGTTCTCGTACATTCAGAATCATACAACCACCAATACCATCCAATTCCAGAACCTTCTCATCACTTCAAAAAGAATTCTCATGTCCATAAGCAGTTATGTCCTGTTCTCCCTCATTGTGTTCACTTCCTGTCTGGATTCTCCTGTTCCAAGCGCTTCCAATCAGTGGAGTCACATGCTGTGGGGTCTTGTTTGTTTGCCTCTCTCACTGGTCCATCCATGTCCTCAAGGTCCTTCCATGTCATAGCCTGTGTCACAGCCTTGCTCCTGTTCCAGCTGAGTGATGCTCCAGTGTGTGGATGGACCGTGTTGTGTGTGTCCATTTGTCCATCTGTGGACACTGGGCTGTTTCTCCCTTTTGACCATTATGAATTGTGCTGTGGGCTGGCGGATACATGTCTTTCTGTTCATCTGTCACCTGCCTTTCTTGGTCATTTCCTCAGTCTCTTTCCCTGTAGCCACGGGTAGGGATTGAAGTCCACTGGTCTCGTCCATGCTTAACTCTTCATGGTGTGTCATCACCTGGAGGGCAGAATCCCAAGTCTTATGACAGTCCCCTGGTCCTAGCATAGCCTGTTCTAATCCTCCTAGACCCCTGCTGCTCACTGCCCCCCACCCCCCGCCACTGTGTGTCCCCCCCCCCCATGCCTCAGGGCCCTTGCACTGGCTGTTTCCTCTTTCCTCAGGTCTGGCCTGTCTTCCTTTCTTGCTTGCTTCAGGTCTTTGCCTTGAGGTCACCTTCTAAGAAACCCCTGTCCTTCTGTCTGTCCCCTGGTCACTCCCTGATCACATCCACCCTACTGGTCTGTTTCCAGTCTAAAATGATTAGTCCCTTGTGGGTCATCTCAGTTCTCCTAAACCAATATCCTGGGAGGGTGGAGACGGAGCCGATTATGTCTACCCCATGTCCCTAGCATCAGGCCAGGACAACAGCTGCTCATGTGCTCCTGTCCCCCACAGGTGGCCGAGACATGCCAGCTGGCTGTGCGGCGTCTGGAGTGGCTGCAGCAGCACCCTGGGGAGCCGGTGACCTCAGGGCCCTACCTCTCGGTGGACCCGGCCCCCGCTGCTGAGGAGCGCGACGTAGGGTGTTTGCGTGAGGTGCTGCTGGATGAGGCCCAGCCACTGTTTGATCGCTACCGTGCCATGTTCGCCCTGCGCAATGCTGGGGGTGAGGAGGCTGCCCTGGCGCTGGCTGAGGGTGAGCAGGGTGCTAGGGTCAGGGTGGAGGTCAGTGTCCCTCTGCTGGGTTCAGGGATGGCAGCCGTGACAGTGCAGCAGTGCACTGCGGGGCTCTGTGGGACCAATGCAGGTGCCACTATCCAGGTGTCTCTGGTCCCCAAAGCTCCAAGTCAGTCCCCCAGGGGACGGGAGGGGCCTAGAGACAGGGGACCTGCTTTCCACCCTCATCCCTGTCCTCCCTTCTCCCCTGTGCGGGCAGCCATCGCTGGCAGTGCGTGACACTCATCTCCCCGCAGGCCTGCGCTGTGGCAGCGCCCTGTTCCGTCACGAGGTGGGCTATGTGCTGGGCCAGCTGCAGCACGAGGCAGCCGTGCCAGGGCTGGTGGCCGCCCTGTCCCTGCACACCGAGAGCCCCATGGTGCGGCATGAGTGTGCCGAGGCCCTGGGCGCCATTGCCCAGCCGTCCTGCCTGGCCGCTCTGCGGGCCCATGCTGCTGACCCCGAGCGTGTGGTGCGTGAGAGTTGCGAGGTGGCCTTGGACATGTACGAGCATGAGAACGGGCCGGCCTTCCAGTACGCCGATGGCCTGGAGCGCCTGCATCCTCACCCCGGGACGCCACCCCTCAAGCCTTGACCCGGACCCCGGACACCGTCTGCCTGCTCTCTCCTGGACCCTGGCCACTGGCCCATCCACCCCAGATGCTGGCTTCTCTCCCTGTCGCCTGCTGTCTGTGAACTCTGCAGGGTCACTTCTCCCCAAGAGGGTTTAGGTGTCTAACTGGGTCTGTGTGAATTGGATCTCATTTACGCCCTCGGTCCGCTTGCTGGGTATAGACTCCCCCTGCTTCCTCCCCAGCTGTCACCTTGGGCTGGCGCTTTTCCATCCGGACTCCTGAGCACACTGGAAGCCCCCCCAAGCCTGGGGTGGGACACTGGAAAGGGATTGGGTGTGTGGCCCTGGGTGGGGCATCTTGAGAAGGTGGGTGTTAGAGAAGCCCAGGCTCAGAACTGGGGCTCTGGGAAGGGGCTTGAGGTGACAGTGGCCCTGGTTTTGCTAGGATCGAGGGCAGGGCCTGGGGGCTGCTAACCTCCCACCCTGGGGTGGGCTAGGGACACAAGCAGACTGCAGGATTGCCCAAATGGAATATTAAATTATTTTTGCCAAGTGACAATTCCTTGAGTGTGTGTGGGGGGTGGTGGACCACTCTCTGGGACCATGACCACTTTTGTGTGACAGGTGTCTGGAGCAAGAGATCCTGGGATACTCTCCACTAACTTCAGCCTGGGCCCCTGTACCTCTGGTAACCTTGGAGGTACAATCTACCCAGCCAGCTCCCTCCATGGGGATCTTCGGGAACAGCCCTCCACAGAGTCTCTGAGGCTTTTTGGTTCTCTCACTCACTGTCTGAGACTGGGTCTCCCTGTGCAGCCCAGGCTGGCCTGGAACTTGTTATTCTTTGCCGCCTGAGTGCTGGGATTTACAGGTGTGTGCTGCCATGCCTGGCTTCTTGTGACATCTCCGCCCCTGAGTACTTTCTGTGATGTAGCTGTGGGATCTGGGCTCAGCAGTTCCCATTTAGCTGCACTTTTCTCTGTGACAGTCTCCCAGCACTAGTCCCCACCCCCACAGTTCTGGCCTCCTTTCCCTTCTGTCCCTGTCACCTCATCCTCACTCTCCTAAGATGACCTTGTGTCATACTTGAGCAAGAAAAGGAAACAACTCCCACCTGCCCACCTGCTCTTGACAGGGTCCCCCACACTCAGCAGCTTCAAAACAGCACTTGGGTTGACTTGTGTCTCCCCAAAAGATAGATAGAGCCATGTCGTGACCCTCAGCACGTGGGGATGGGACCTCACTTGGAAGTGGGTTTGGAGGTGTTACTAAGGCACAGATCGCAAGATGAGCTCATTCTGGATTTAGGGTTGGGCCTGCCCATTGTCCCAGCTGTTTGGGTCTGAAGCTAAGGAAAACTTGAGTCCAGGACTTCGAGGCCAGCCTGAGCTGTACGGAGCTTGGAGGAAGGAAGAAGGAATGGAGGGAAAGAAAGGAAGAGAGTGAGGGAAGAACCCTATGGGGATACCATGCCCTACTGGTTTCCTCAGAGCCAGTGACAGCTACCAAGAAGGCACTGCGGGAGCTTTCACAACCCAAACTCACTGCGGTGGTCATTTGTGTGGATTTTCATTGGTCCCATGAACACCTGGCACAAGGTGGACACCAGTACAGGACGTTGGGTCCTCAGGACACCGCTGCCTGATGTTCCTCATCCTCGCAGGCGTCCCTGCCTCCTGCTGCAGCTATTCTCCCTGAACTTCTAGCTGTCACCTCCCTTCCCCATCAGCACAGAGGGGTTCATCACTTTACAGTTTCCTTTATCTGGACCAGCTTAGTGGCCTGCTGCCTGGTCCTTGTCAGCCCTTGCACCATCTGCCCTCTCTGCAGCAGCCACAAGAGGTCGCCTGTGAGCACTGAGTCCCTCTGCCCACAACCCTCTAAGACATCCCCAGGTCAGAGCACAAGTCCCCGCTGCAGTGCACGAGGACCTTTGTGACCTGCCCCATTCCCTCCTCCTCTCCCCTTTGCTCCCTCTGCTTCAGCCATGCAGGTCTCATCTCCACTCCTCCAACACACCAGCCCCTGTCCTGCCCCGGGGCCTTTGCCCGGGCTGTGGCCTCTGGAATGCTCTCCTCCCAGGTGCTCCCAGGGCTGGTTCCCGCCCTATTTGAGGTCTCTGCTGACTTGGCTGCCCTATTTGGAACTGTCTCCCCCGCCCATGGTCCCATACCATTCTTCGCTTTCTGAAATACATCTCTTTTCCTAAGGTTATATTTCTAGTGCTTATCTCCCTGCTGGGACAGACACCAGCTCCATGAGGGCAGGGATTTTGCCCTGCTGTGTCCACAGCTGTGTCCTAGACCCTAAGCGTGTCCAGCTACAGTAAAGCTCAGTAACAGGAGGTGAACAAACGAGTGGAGAAAGCCAGCTATGAGAAAATGTGGGGTATAGAGAAGGCCTGGCATGTGCAAAGCTCCTGAGGTCAGGACAGACATGGAGTCTTGTCTGCTATGGCTGAAGTGGAGTGAGAGAGGAGGTCAGTGGGCGGAAGTGACTTGCTATGGGATTAACCCGGGCAGATGGTGGCCTTTAAGGAGTCACCCAATCCTCTTAACTCAAAGCTCTTTAATATTTCCGTTGTGTGAGTGACCTCCAGGCCGCTCCTGCTCTGGGTGACTGCCATGCCCGAGCTGCTGGACAAGCAGGAGGCTGAGAGCTGGAGTCCAGCCCCACCGATGTATGAGGAGTACCGGCCACCCCCGCTGGACGCCATCCGGCTGCCACGCTACGTGCTGTACCTACTGATGGCTACGTTTCTGGTGGTGGCTGTGGCCTACGCCATCGTTGGCCACCTCATCAAAGACCTTGCCCATGACCTGGCTGGTGAGCTGCTGCCCACTGCAAATCTGGCTTGGGCTAGGGTGCTCCAAATGAGGGGGACCCAGGGGCCGCTCCTAGCCAGCAGGAGGGAGGAGGGCGGATAGCGTCTCACCAGCTGCTCTGTGTAGACTGGGCCTTTGGCCCGAAGCCAGACCAGGAGGACGCCCCCCGTGAGCTGCGCACCAGCCTGGAGGGTGAGGACCTGGAGGAGTTGGATCTGCAGCTGGCCCTGGCCTGGCAAGGGGATGAGGGCACTGGTGGAGGTGGTGAGGGAGCCCCATCGAAGCCCCTGCCCAGGCCCCCCGCCGCCCCTCCATAGCCTTCAGGGACCTACCTGGCCAAAGCTCCTTTTGGAGGCTGGACTGACAGGCCCTGGGGCAGCAGCTGGAACTTTGTGCATGGATCTGGCCCAGGGAGGCACACGGTGCTTGCTTATTTGTCCAGCAGGGTCAGTGGCCAGACCCCGGCCATTTCCACCCAGCCTGCAGCCACGCCATCCACGATCTTTATGTATACATATATAAAATATTTGCTAAGTCAGTCCTTTCCACGTGTTATTCTCTTTGGGCCTCCCAGGGAGCTCCTTTCATTCCATTTTACAAATGGAAGCACTAGTTAGAATGAGCCCAGCTGGGTAACTGAGTAGGAAGACAGAAGCTCTGGGTGGGTTTCTGCCCTTGCCCACCCTGCAGGAACCAACCCTCTCCCCACCACAGCACACCTCTGAATTGTCTCCACCCTCCACCTCAGCTGCAGGGTCTACATATCTGTGGGGCATGGTCCTGATTTCCCAAACCAGTCTACATCAGCTGGAGAGCAGTTTCCTTCCCTTCCAAGCCTGGCACAGGATAGGGTACACAGCAGGGGCTTAATATATGCCTGTCTGGCTGGTTCAAGTGGGCCTGTGACTTTTCCTGGAGCTGGGATGCCTGCACTCCATCCTGGCTCTGTCTGTGGTCAGCCTCCGACTTCCGGGATTGAGGCCCAGCGCTCATACAGCAGGCGCCGCACAAGCACGTATGTGGTGGCTTCAGGCCTTTCATGTGCCTGGGCTGTGGCTGCTCCTGGGCAGCCTAGGTGGGGTTCCCCTTTGCCTGGGCAGGGCTCACTGTCTCATCAGCTCAAGGTCCAAGGTGAAGGGCAGAAGAGCATGCATCGTGAATCATCCACAGCCCTGATGTCCCCATTAACTAGCCACCTCTATAGAGCGTCTGGATCCGGGGATGGACAGTGGGCAAGTGACCCTTAGCCACCCATGTGCTGCCCCTGAGTCCTGGCAGAGGCACAGTGTGAGCTGGGGAGAGAGGTGTGTGACAGAGAAGGGACTTCATATTGGGGCTCTGACCCCAGCTGCTTGCCCTGGGCTCTGCAAGACTTTGTGGGATGTCCACAGAAGGAAGTCGAAGGCTGTGCAAAATCGCTGGACGTGGGGTCTCGCGTGAATGTACAAGCCACCAAAGGTGACGCCATTCCAGCTGTATTTGCAAGTTCACCCTCGCTGGACACAGGGGCAGGGGGCTGCAAGGCAGGGAGAAGGTTAAAGTCACCTCTGCAGCAGGAACCAGCTGCCCGGGGGGTGACCCTGAGGCGATGGCGCAGGGAGGATGACTCCCCGAGTTAATGTTACACCAGGCACAGACTCTGCCCTCCTGGGGGACAAGAGCGCGTGGCAAGGGGCAGCACAAGGAGGCCCCGCCCCCATGCCCTGGGCCTCGCCCGCGTCCTGCCTCCGCCTTGTCCCCGCCGCAGGGGCTGCGCACACCGCAGGTGGACCCGACCCGATCCTCCGCGCGCCCGCCAGCTGCTGACTCGCTGCACCGCCATGGACACCCTGGGAACGCTCCTCGTGCTGGGCGCCCTGCTCCTCTCGCCTGCAGAGGCTCAGCAGGGTAGGGCTTGGGACGGGGCCATGAGATGGGGTCGGACCTGGGCTCTCCATCGCCCCATTTCCTACCACGGGAAACTGAGGCCCGGAGAGGGCGCAGAAAGACAGGAGGCAAGGAGGCCGCCCTTGGCCTCTTGCTCCCTTTTGGCATTCGCTCCTGGCCTCCCTCCCTCTTGTAAGCTCTCCCTCCTTTGCGGGGGGCTCCCCTCTCCAAGACCCTCCCCTCTCCAGTTCCCCACTCTCTTGCTCCCTCCCCCTTAGAATCTCCGCCTCCTTTGTAAGCCCCGCCCCCAAGCTGCGCCCCTCCCTGAGACCCCCTTCTTAGCCCCCTGGGAGCCCTGCTTCTCCCTCTGAGCCCCCTCCTCTTTTATAAGCTCCGTCCCTTCTGAGACCACCCCGTCTGCCCCCTTTGAGCCCCCTCCTCCTTTATAAGCCTCGCCCCCTCCAACATCCCCTCCCGGACCCCAAACTCCTTCCCCCTCCCATGAGGACCCCTCTGTCTCTCTGTCCCCGCCTCGATGATCTGTTCCCTCTCCAAGACCCCCTCTGTTCGAGCACCCCCAGGACCCTGCTCCCTCTCTCTAAGCCTCCTCTCCACCCTCTCCAGCCACAGAGCGTCACCTGAAGCCGTGGCTCGTGGGCCTGATCGCTGTGGTCAGCTTCCTCTTCATCGTCTTTGTGCTCATGCTGGCCAACCGCATCTGGTGCTCCAAAGAGAGGTGGGGGATCCCCCGCATCGCATTCCTGAAGCACCTGTCCCTTCTCCTCCCTGCTTCAGGCTCTGTCCAAATGTTGCCCCACGCCCAGCTTCCTGACCCTCTCTGGTCCCTTCCCCTTCAGCCCCTTTTCCCCAACTCACCCATTTTCCTGCCCCTCTTTGTATCCTCTCCCCTCTGGGACCAGATCCTGCCCCACCCCTCCTGACCAAGCAGCCAGGCAGCCCACCTCCTCCTGCTGCCTGGATTTCATCAGCGGGGAGAAACTGAGGCAGGGACTATCCCCACCCTCAGCTCTTCCTCCAGCCTCATGCCACACCCCCCCATCTTTGCAGAGCTGAGGATGAAGAGGTCGCTGTGAGAATGGAGCCCAATCCGTACGAAGACACAGAACCCAGGTACTGTCCGTGTGAGCCCCTTCCAGAGGTGGGAGAGCAGGTGCACACAGATGAACTATTTCTGTCCTTGAGTACTTCCAGTGCATTCCTGCCCCAGGACCTTTGCACATGCTCATCACTGATGAGAACACCTTTCTTCACACCTCTTGGCTAGCTCTGCCTTCAGTCAGTGCTCAGGAGTTTGCTCTCCCCAGAGCTTTGGTTCTAAAGCCCTGTCTCTTTCTTCCTCACACCTAACCACCAGCTGAAATAATCTTGATAGTTTACTGGTCTCACAGCACTAGATGGTGGCTTTCAGAAGGTGGGACTTGCTGTGACCCTGTCTCTCATGCCCAGCACAGGGCCTGACACACAGTGGGCACTTAGTACTTGCTGAAGAATACTGTGCTGTGTGTGTGTAGGTTCCCTCCTGACCTCTGCATCTCCTGTGGCTCTGCTTCTTCCTGGATGATGGTTTGGAGAGGGGGATTGGGGTGTGCTCAGGGTCAGAGTCCAGCTTGAGCCAAGACTTGGGACAAGGGCAGGAGTGTGTAGGATGGGGAAGATGCACAGCTGAGCCCAAGACGGGCCTCAGGGAAGTTGGGGAAGATGCGTGGACATGAGTGTTGGCTCTAAGCCCAGCTCTGCCCCAGGGAATAGATTCCTACTCCCAGGAAGAAGTGGGTGCTCTCCATCCACTATTCTGCTCCTTGTCCGTCCTCCACCCACCCACCCATCCATCTGTCCATCCATCCATCCTCCACCCACCCACCCAACATCCACCCACTCATCCATCTGTCCATCCTCCACCCACCCACCATCCACCCATCCATCCACCCATCCATCCACCCACCCATCCACCCATCCATCCACCCACTCATCCATCCATCCACTCATCCATCCACCCATCCATCCATCCATCCATCCACTCATCCATCCATCCATCCATCCATCCACCCATCCATCCACCCATCCATCCACCCATCCATCCATCCACCCATCCATCCATCCATCCACCCATCCATCCACCCATCCATCCATCCACCCATCCATCCACCCATCCATCCACCCATCCATCCATCCATCCATCCACCCATCCATCCATCCATCCACCCACCATCCATCCATCCACCCATCCATCCACCCACCCATCCATCCACTCATCCACCCCTCCACCCACCCATCCACCCACCCATCCACCCATCCATCCACCCATCCATCCATCCATCCACCCATCCACCCATCCATCCACCCATCCATCCATCCATCCACCCACCATCCATCCACCCATCCATCCACCCACCATCCATCCACCCACCATCCATCCACCCATCCATCCACCCACCCATCCATCCACCCATCCACCCCTCCACCCATCCATCCACCCATCCACCCTCCACCCCCCATCCACCCACCCATCCACCCATCCATCCATCCATCCATCCACCCACCATCCACCCACCCATCCATCCACCCACCCATCCATCCATCCACCCATCCATCCACCCACCATCCATCCACCCATCCATCCATCCATCCATCCACCCATCCACCTCTCTTCTCCTACCCATCTGCCTACCAACCCACTGTCCATCCATGGAGAATGGAGCCTTCCTTCTCCATGACTATGGAGAGGACTCACTGAGCCCTGCTCTGGAGCCCCTCCTCACAAGACGCCTGCCCCACAGGTGACTGTCCACTCAGTAGGAATGATTGTTTCTTATTCTGGTCTGGGGCCTCTGTTTCCCTACAGTAGAGAAAGCAGGACAGAGAAACGAGAGAAGAAGAAAAAGGCCAAGAAAGGAGAGAGCAACCTGGGATTGGAGCTGGAGGAGAAAGCATCCTCGGATGAGGAAAAAGTAAAGAAGACAGTTTTGTGAGACGCCCTGCTGCCTCCTCCAGGCAGGCCTCCCGAGATGCCTCTTCCATCTGCTATAAGCAGCACCCTGGACTTGAAGACCTTCCAGGCTTCTGAACACAGTGTCCAAGGAGGGCTCAGAGAGCATCATGTGCTTTTTATGGAGTTCCTTCCTGATCTTGACCCCTCCTGGGGGTTCTTATGCCTAAGGAAAAACTTCCAAATGCCAGCACCTCTTGCTTCCACCTCTTTCTATCCACTGCTTAATTTCTTTTCCCTCTGCCTGATGTCTGTCCCCTCCCACGCAGCCTCAGGGCCAATATGGAGACTGCAAAATGAATCCATAGGAGCCTTTTAGAAGACTCTTGTTGTTTCTTGACTCACTTTCCCTTGGGGGTGGGGCGGGGGTGGAGGCTCCCAACGCTCGGGCTCCCAGGATTAAAACACTGACTGAGATCTTGATTTTGCTCCTGGAGCCCTGGACTTTGAGCCCCGTTTCCTGGGAAATCCTTGCTGGCTCCCCGGGTTTTGGGGCACGTGACTTTCTGGGAGGGCTTGGAGGATGGGGTGCCCTGGGCCGGAGGAGCACTTTCTCCTCTCCGTTTCCGTCCCCCGTTCCCCCTTTCTCCTGGCTCTGGACATCGTCCTGGACACGGACCACTTTTTAATGAGGATTTTGTTTTTCATTTTTATTAGTATATATTCATTGTATAGGGGGAATCCACTGTGACAATTCCGAATAGCCTTCCATTTTACATTGGTTAGGTCACCCACCATCTCCCCCCGCCATGCCTTTAATAAGGATTTGGTAAAGGTGTCATTTGGGGTCCCATGCTGGGGCCTGGGATTGGGGTTCCGGCGGGATCCGGCCCACACGGGAGTTTGTCTCGGAGCATTTCCAGGGTCGTCCACCAGGGGGCGGAAAACCCTAGACTAATTCAGCGTAGTCAAATGGCCAAGTGGGTCCCCCGCCCCGCCCCCCGGCTCTCCTCCGAAGCACCTGGTTAGTCCCAGTTTGCGGGTGAGGGCACTGAGCCTTAGAAAAAGGGACGTCCCCAGAGCAGCGCTCCCGGCCCATGGCACCGCTGGTGGGGAGCCCAGGCAGCCCCAGGGATGGAGGCATTAGCAGGTTCCCGCCAAGATCAACTTTGGAGGTTTGTGTCCTGGGATGGTCCCTGGCGTGTGTTCTTTCCTGCCCTTTGCAGGGAATGCTGTGTGGCCCTGGGAAGGTGGCCTGACCTCTCTGAGCCTCGCCTTGGCTCCTCAATGTGGGGATGAGTTCTGACCACCCAGAACGTGAGACTGGTGAAGGTTGAAGGAGGCGCCGGGCGTGGCTGGGGGCTCCTGGGGAGATGGAGGTGGTGGTGAGGGACTAGGGAGACAGGGAAGGGGGACCCACTCTACTTCCTGGAGCACTCGTCAAACCCTGCCCTGGATAGGCCACGTCTTCCTCGGCCCTGCCTTATCCCAGACCTGCGGGGCAGAGACAAGGACCGATGGACCGGGACGGGCAGATCCTGGAAGGTCCCCGTCTGTCCCTCCCTCCAGCTCTACTCCTGCGTCTGCAGGCTCAGGCCAGCCCTGAGCCTTGGCAGGAGGTGGACCTCAGCCTCGCTGCCTGGCCCCGCTCCCGCCTGCAGCCGCCAACAGTACGCGGCTGGGGGGTCAGGGGGCCGCGCTGGCCGTCCTCGTCCTCATCTTTCTTGTCATCCACGTCCTGTAGGGATCCTCAACTAGTGGGACCCATCCTGTCTCAGCCCCTTCCCTGCCCAATCCCCTCTCCTTCAGCCCCACTCCGAGCCCCTCCGCATAGACCCAACCCCTCTCCTTCTCCGCCCCGAGCCCCGCCCTCACTGCCCCGCCTCCTCTGTTCCTCCCGTTGGCCCCGCCCCCTCGACTCAGCTCCGCCCCTCCGAGCCCTTCCCGTCTTAACCCAGGTTTCCTGGTCCATCAGGGCTTGCAGTGGCTTTCCCTGCTGACCAAGCCCATCTTAGTATGTGCTTCAGATGGAATCTATACCGTCTTTATCCCTCTCACCCCATCCATTCACTCTCCACTTACCCATCCGTCCTCCATCCATTTTTCTACACATTCATCCACCCCTTCACCCGTCCCTCTACCATCCATTCACTCCGCCATTTTCCATCCATCCACACCCACAAACTCACCCATGCATCCTTAATCTTTCCATCCGTCCGTCCATCCATTCATCCATCCAGCCACCCCTTTTATCCAAAGATCCATCCATCCTCCCATTCCTCCATCTATCTAACCGTCCGTCCATCCACCCATCCTTGCACCCATCCTCCCCTCCATCCACTCACCGACCCATCCATCCAGGGTATCCATGCGTCCACCCATCCACTCAAGTGTCTGCCCTGCCTCCCTCAGTCTATGCACCTGCTCATCTCTGCCGTCCATCACTCACACCAATTGAGACCCGGGAGGCAGAGGGCTCTAGATGCAGAGTGAGGGTTTGGCTCAACCACTTCTTTCTGCTCTGACAGGGCAGGTGTCCTATCCTTGTCTGAATCTCCATGTCCCCTTCCAGTAGCCTAGGAACAGGGCAGGGCTCATGGGGGTCTGGTGAGAATTGTACGGGGCCTGGAACACTGAGTCCTCATTAAATCAGATGATGGAGGTTTTATCTGGGTCCGTCTCACAGCAACAGGGACAAGGAAGAGAGGGAAAAAAAGAGAAGTTAGAGGAGGGTGCCCAGGAGGGCGGACCTGCAGGAGAAAGAGGCAGGCCCCTCCCCAGCTATGAGAGTTGAGTACCTCTGTGGAACAAGCTCCCAGCCTGCCTCCTCCAGGCAGCCTTCCTAGGCAGCTAAACAGCTCCTTCTGGGGCCCAGGGAAAAGTGTCCAGTGGGACCACCCTCCTACAATCCCCCTCCCCAGACTGGTCCCCACCTAATGATTCCTCTGGAGCTTGGATGGCAACTCCTGGACAAAGAGCTCCCCAAACCTCACCCCAGCCTCAGCATTCTCTCCTGTACCAAGTCTCCTTCTCAGGCATCATTTTTACCCCCTGCCTGGTTTCTTCCCCCACCACCAATTTCTATGGCCCTATGTGACTGTCTAAGCAGACAGCATCTCCTGTTTTTGCCTCAAGAGCTTCAGTGAGCTCCCAAGAGCCCTCTGCTGGCCTCCCTGAGTATGTGTCACGTGGGGCCCAGAGAAGCCTGCTGTTCTCCCCTCACCCGAGAGAGGCCACTCCAGGGGAAGGAAGGTGGAGGAACCAAGCACCCGATCCCACCACCTTTTCAGGATTTGCAGGTCCAGCCCCGGGCATCTTTGCTGCTCCTGAAGGTTGGGCCACACCGCAGGGCCATTTTTGTGGAGATGGGAGTTCTTCCCTCAGTGCACTGTAAATCCTGGGGGCAAATCCCCTGTTCCCTGTCCTGCATCCCTGGTGGCCAATCCATGGAGAAGGAGGCTGAGCCCAACTTCCTTGCTGTGTGACCTCAGGCAAGTTCTTCAACCTCTCTGTGCATAAAAAGTAGGTCATTCACAAACTGTCGTGAAAACTAAATGAAAACATGCGGCTAAGTGCTGTGGCTCAGTGACACACTATCTGAAAAATAACTAAAGCAAAAAGGGCTGGTGGAGTGGCTCAAGTGGTAGAGCACCTGCCTTGCCTAGCAAGCATGAGGACCTGAGTTTAAACCCCAGTATTGTAAAAAAAAAAAAAAGTGTAAGCTGAAAAGAGAGGGAAACTGATCCTCTGGTCAGATTTCGGGAGCTTTAAGGCTAAAGGCTAAGTTTTTGGATCATAGCTTTGTTTTTTCTGTTTTTTTTTTTCAGTACTGGGTTTTGAACTCAGGGCCTTCACCTTGAGCCACTCCACCAGACCCTTTTTTGTGATGGGTTTTTTTGAGATAGGGTCTCACAGATTATCTGCCCGGGCTGGCTTTGAACCAGGATCCTCCTGATCTCTGCCTCCTGAGTAGTTAGGATTACAGGCGTGTGCCACCAGCATCTGCCTCTGGATCATGGCTCTTGGTGGCAGTTTTCTTCCTCTGCCTGCTAGGTAGGAGGTCTGGGGGTGGTTCCTTGGAAGAGAGGCAGCGCTGGGGGTGGCAGTGAAGAGAAAAGGGGACCTATCTGGGATTCTTCCTTTCTGCTGGCAAGAGACTTCCCCACTAGAGGACTTTGGAACCTATTATTTAATTATTTGGAGACCTCGGTCTCACTGTGTAGCCCAGGCTGGCCTTGAACTCCTGCCTCGGCCTCCTGAGTGCTGGGATTACAGGCGTGCACCACCATGTCTGGCTTTGTCAACTTTTTGCATGGGCATTTTGAGTTGTCTCAAGCCTGTCCCCCTTGCATGGTGGGGAGCTAGGGATGGTAATCATGTCCAGTTCTGCACAGCCCTGAGTAAGCAAGAATTGCTCCCCCGCAGTAAGCAATGGCTGAGAACCTGGGGCTTTTCCTTGAGATCTAGGGGCAAGTAGTAGGGATGGGGGAGGAGGCCAGGGGCTCCGCGCTTCTGGGCCAGGCTCCCCGATCAGCCCAAAAGGGGGAGCTAGAACCTCGATGATGAGGGTTCACCAGTCCATGCTGGGGGGTAATACCAGGACTGTGCCAGGATCTGGGGTCCCCACCCCAACCCCATTGACTGCTAGTGGGCACTTCCTGGGACTATTTGTCCTCTTGTCAGGCCCACATGGTGGCCTCTTGATGTGTCCTGCCTCCTCCCTTCATGCCTCAGTTTTCCCACTGTGAAAAGGGGGTGTGACAGGGCCTGCCTTGCAGTCCTGTGCTAGGCAGCAGAGGGCTTGGCTCGTCTACCCTGGGGTCTCTTGGAGGGTCTGAGGGGGATTAGAATGGGAGGCAGGATGGAGGGCCCAACCCAGCCAACCAAATGTGACTGCTTCTGGGCACCATGGCCTTTCTCCTCCCTGGCCCTGGATTTGAGGAGGCAGGCTGGGAAAGGCAGCAGGGCCTGGATATGGCCACACTGAGCCCAACACGATCAGAAGGGATGGGGACAGTGGGAGCTCAGAAGGCCAGGGAGAAGAGGTGTTAGAACAGCGGGGCGCTGGTGCTCACACCTGCAATCCCAGCTACTCAGGAGGCAGAGATCAGGGGCATAGCCAGTGCGGGCAAATAGTTCACGAGACCCTATCTCGCAAATACCCATCACAAAAAAGGGCTGGTGAAGTGGCTCAAGGTGTAGGCCCTGAGTTCAAACCAGTACTGCACACACACACAAAACAAAATTAAAAAAAAGAGGTGTTAGAAACAAGTCAGGTCCCTCCCTTCTCTGTCCACCACCCTCCATGGCTCCCACCTCCCCTCAGGGTCCAAGCCCAAGTCCTCCCTGCAGCCCACAGGGCCCTGCACGACCTATGGACCTGCCCGTCCCCTCTGTCCTCTTTACTCCCTCTGCTTCAGCCACACCCACCTCCTCACTGGTCCTCTGTCCTGCCGCAGGGCCTTTGCATATGCTGAGCCTCTGCCTGGGACACTCTTCCATCACACTTTGGGGTGCTCACGCCACTCATGCACTCAGGTTTTTGTCTAAATGCTACTTCCTCAAGTGAGGCCACGCCCTAGCCTTCATTCGCTTCCTTTTGCTACGTCAATCATTTTTTACTCTCCACCGTCCTTCTGGAGGGCCAGAAGCTCCAAGGGGGCGGTTCTTCCCTGCTGGGTCCCAGGGCTTGGCTCTGGCAGACGCAAGGAGAGGGAGGGAGGGAGGAAGGGGGGGGGAGGTTCAGCCAGCAGGGGCGGTGCGAGTGAACAGAGCAGCTCACCCAAGCCCACATCTGAAGCAATTTTCTCCCCTGGGCACCATGCACACTGGGCGGGTCCTTCTCTGCGGGGTGTCCCGGGCCCTGCAGGGCACTGAGCAGCATCCCTGGCCTCCACCCGCCCCATGCCAGGAGCTCCCCAGTTGTGACAGCCACACATCCCCAGACCTTGTGGCATGTTCCCAGGGAGGGACCTGATCCTTTGGAACAGCTCTTTGTCCCAAGTGCACAGGGACCCTGTTCCCTGGGTCCCACTGTCTTCCTTTGTAGAAGGACACAGAGCATCCCTGGATGGACGCAGAAAGGAGGAGCCGAGACACCCAGGAAGAGTCGAAGCATAGCTTGTTTAATTTTTATACATTTTTTCTTCTTTTCTTTTTTTTTTTTTGCCTTTTATTGAATCTTTTATGGAACCCCCCCTTTTCACTTTTTTTTTTTTGCATAGGGAAACAAAATAACAGCCAGTCACTTCCTGTAAATGGTACTTAGGCGCATCCGCGAAAACCAAAAGGACTGTGTACTATACAAGGCGAGGATGGGTATATGATGGAGGTGCCGGGACACGGAGCAAGCGGGCCTGGGTCTGTCAGGTGTCCCCTCGCCCTCCCCTCCCCCCCCATTCCCACTTGGAGAGAAGGAGGGAGAGGCGGCAGCCACAGGCCCAGAGGACCGCCCGACTTGGGTTTTGAGCACAGGTGCGTGCATGTGTGCATGTGTGTGTGCGTATGCATGTGCACGCACGCATGTGTGCACGAGTATGTGTGCATGTGTGCGTGCGTGTGCGTGCATGTGTGCATGTGTGCATGCGTGCGTGTGTGTGCACGTGTGTGTTGTCTAGTGTGTACTGCAAGCAGAAAGCTAGAAACAGAATAAACTATCCTGGTAATATGAGTAAAATACAAAATGGAAACAAAAAAAAATTCTCAAAAAAAAATCTTCGGGGAGGAAAATGAACAGGACAGTCTCACCACCCAAACATGAAGGAAAAAAATGAAGGAGAAAGGAGGAAAGAAAGTAAAGAAAGACAGAAAAAATCCAGAGGGGAAGATATTTTTCTCCGTCTTTCCAGCACCCCACTCTCACCCCACACCCTGTGCTGTGTGCCCTGCCCTGTCCTGTCCCGCTCATCCATGGCTTGGCCAGGTGCCTCCCCGGTGGGCAGGGAACTGGGGGCTCAGGCTGGGGCCCCTGGACTTGATGGGGCTTTGGTTTTAGGGGCAGCAGCCTGGCTGGGATATGAGATGGGAGCTGGGAAGAGGATGCTTTTGGGAGCTGGTGCTGGGGTCCCCTTACTGGATGGTCCCCTTCCCGCCCGGAGGTGGGTGGAGAACTGGGTGCTGGGGAGGTGGTGGCGTGGGGTGCTCTCCTCTCTGGAGCGCTCATCCCCATCCGGTCCACCTCCTCTTCCGTCTGATGTCTGAGAGAAGCTTGGGGAGCTGGGAGGATGGGTGGAGACAAGGGCGGGGGACCCCAAGCCGCAGCAGCAGACGTGTGAGGCACTGCTTGGGAAATGAGTGTTTTGGTTATCACTGGCAACAAGGTCTGCTGGCACGGCTCAGGGTTTGCTACCACCTTCCCCAGCATCAGTGGTCCCGCCCCTGCTCTGGACCACTGAGGGATGGATGGATGGAGCACGGGATGTGGGCCTGGGTGGGGGACAGGGCAGGGAAGCTAGATTTGAGGGTAGATCTCACTGCTACCTCCCCCCAGGAAAGAGAAACAATTGGGGTGTCTGAGAAACAGGGCCAAAATAAAACAGCACTGAGTAGTGGGTCTTAGGGCACAGAATCTGAAGTTGTATGTGCATCTACATATTTATATGGGCATAGCACAGCCTCCCCTGGCCTGGTGCCCAGGGAAGGACCGCTGGGGAGGTGGAGGACCTGCAGGAGCATAGGGGGCAGGCTGCTTGATGTCCTTCCCTGAAATCTGAATGGCTGCCCGTGGCCTCAAGACCCTGTCTTGCGGGGGACAATGTGGGGCGGCCACACCTGCTTGTTTCCAGTAAGCTGCTGTCCCTGGGGACAGAGAGGAGGTTCTGCAGCAATGTCTGCACCCAGGTGGCGGTCCTTTGACCCCATGGCTGTCCAGTTTCCTTTGGCATCCCTATCAGATCTGATTGTCTGGTCTCCTGTGAGGGGCTCTGGACCTTGGTCCTGGGATGTTCTCTCAGCAGTCAAATAGGGCGGGTTCTTCTCACCTTGCCACCATGGTCGTGTGGGACATGCCTGCCCAGGAAAGGGACAAGGCAATGTGCATATATTTGGGGATCCCTCCTGGTCTTTTCCACAGGATGGACTGAACCCCAAGGGTCAGGCTGGGGGGCTATGAAAAGGATGTGGCTGTTGGTGATGGTGGACTGGGGGAGGGGGCAGGTTGAAAAGATGCAACTTTCATATGTGTAAGAGGAAAAGAATCCCAACAATCTGTACCCCAGGGAAGACACCATCATCATCCATCTGTGAGCCCACTCTGCCAGCCAGCCATGAGGTCCCAGGGCCCGGTGCCCTGCTGTGTTCTGCCCACAGGGAGCAAGGCGTCTGGGAAGGGTGGCTTTTCTGAGAAATAGGGTGTGGGGAATATGGCACTATGCAGCTAGGCATGCACCAGCCCACTGTTCCCAAGAGAGGATCCAAAAACCTGAAGGGGGGTCCTGTAGGCTAGTGCCCCACCCAGGCCTTCCTTGGGGTGGAGGGACTGGGTCACCCTCTCCCTCTGCCCTGGCTGCTCCAGGGTTTGCTCAGGAGGGAAAACATGAGAAACCATCACTGAGCCACATGGACCCTGGGGATCCCCAGCCTGTCCTCTCTGGCCAGAGACTGGTTCCTGAGGACAGCATGGAGGCTGGCGGAAGGGCCTGGGCTCTCCTTCCGTCCCCTGGGATGTAATGAGGCGTCACTTTGGAAGAAAACTTAGGATAAGAATATTATGGTGGCCCTTGAGACAATTCTACATCCTGAGGAGACAGTGAAGGAAAGAATGGGGACCTCCTGCTTGGTGTCCCCACATGGGATGTGTGGAGGGCCAGGCTGGAGCAGGAAGTGGCACTAGATGGCTTAGGGTTGGTGAATCCCGCCCACCCCACTGACCCCCTGGCTACCTCTTAGCTTTGGTCAAATGCAGCAAGGAAACTGGAAAAAAGAAAGGAAGGAAGAAGAGGAAGGAAGGAAGGAAGGAAAGGAAGGAAGAAAGGAAAGAAGGAAGGAAGGAAGGAAGGAAGGGAGAGAGAATGAAAAAAAACCCAAAATCAAGGACAACACAACAGCTCGGTCTGGACGGAGGAGGCCTGTGACTCAGTGCCCCCACTGTCCCTGTGCCCTGCTGGCCCTCCACTGGCTGGCGGGGCTGCTGATGGCCAAGCTGTGCCCATAGGACAGGTATTGCATATATCGAGTTTTGTGGTTTTTGTTTGTTTCACACCAGACACCCTTGCTATTCATAGCTGGAAGACAGAGAATGGGGCATTGGGGGCAAGGGGACAGCGTGCCACCCCAGGCTGTCCTTGGGCTCGGGAGAAATGAGTCCTTCAGTGAGAAGGATGGAGGTGCATGCAGGGCCGCTGGGGAGGGGTAGCCAGAGACCCTGACCCAGGGGGGCGCTAGCCTGCACGATGGGTGGGGATGGGGCCTGGCTGAGGGCGGGGTGGCCTCCTCATTGAAGGGGACCGCCTGGGGTTGGTGTATGGCATCTGGAGGCACCCTGTGCCCAGTGACATGGGAAGTCCTCGCCGGGGGCCAGAACACACCCCTGAGGCCCATCCCAAGGGGAGGGGGACTCACTTAGAGGCCAGGAGCAGGACTGGGGGTGAAGGAGGGTGAGCACCAGGGAGCAGCCCCCCCCCCCAATGCAGAAGGGGCCAAGGAGGCAGAATGGAGGCGGGTGGGGTGCTTCAGAGCATTTTTCTTTTTTTTTTTTTAAAAATTCTTGTTTTTGTTTTTTACAAATAGAAATACATCCCTTTTCGATTTGTATCTTTTATTTCTTGTCATCGCTGTCTGTCTGTGACTACGCGCGCATTCCATGCAGCCGTGCGCTGATAGAGTAAAGGTAATACTTATCTCGGAAGGCAAGGCACATCATGTGATAGAAAATTTCGTGCAAATAAGGAAACATGGAATTGGGTTTGGTTTTTTTTAGGACTTTTTTCTATCTTTTTTTTTTTTTTTTTTAAGAGGAAGTGAGGGGTGGAGGGTGGGGCTGGGGGGATAGAGCCAGGGACAATCTGCCATGCACGCGTCAGCGGTGGCTGACGTGGTGGTGGGGAGTGGGGTCGCGGGTCCCTAAGCACCATGCAAAATCAGGTAAAGAGTTGGTTCTCATCGGCCCTGACCCCTCAGGGTCCAGCTGGCCGGGGGCTGCCGGGTCCACCCCGAGATCAGCCCATCCTCCACCCCTGCCCCACCCTCGCTGAGAAGCTTCCGCTGCCTGACGGCACGCCCCTCACCCCTGCCCTGCTGGACAGCGGCCCGTGCTTTAGTCCCCAACGGCCCCCAGCGGAGGGTCCCTGAGGACAGACGGACGGACAGACAGACACACGGACCCCTCTGGACCACAGGGGTGGGAGGGGGCAGGGAGCGGGGAAAGGTCTTGGGTTTTTCTGTATGTTAGAGTAGGTTTGCCAAGCCCCTGGGGCCAGTCTGGGAGGAGAGCCCGGGGCCACCGGGACAGGGAGGAGGGCAGGGCCAAGGGTGGACAAGACAGGCCCTGGTGGATGATGGCTTTGGCCTACGATGGGTAGGGGGCGTGGATGGGGGCTTTTTCCCTAGCGCCAGGCATGAAGGCGGTCTGGGGGATGGCTGGGATGGGTAGGCCAGGGAAGGGTCCTCATGTTTGGGCCCAGTGGCCCTAAAACACCTGACACCCCATCCTGCATCCCATCCAAGATGGGGGTCCCAGGTGAACGTGATGGGGCTGCGGAGCCAGGTTAGGGGGCACCCGGCACCCCCAGCTTAGTGTTTTTGGAGCAGGTCAACGGAAAACGCATAGCAGATGGGAGCCCCCACCGGCTGCCCAGTCCCCGCAAGAGCCCTCCCAGTCCGGGGTCCCTCCACTGGGCCCCACTTTGGGGGAGATGAAAGTGCAAACGGTGGCCCCCTGCGTGAGGGACACCAGGGAGAGGCTGTCTCCGGGACGTAAGGCACTGGCAAAGGGGGCTGGGGCAGCAGCAGCCCCAGGACCCAGCCCATGGCCCAGCAGGGGTCCCGTCTCTCTAGCTTGGAGGGGGCACAGCAATGAGGGGCCAGGGGGGTTGGAGAGAGGGTGGGAATGCCCACGGCCTCTCTGTGTCCCAGCTGGACGATGGGGGGTCAGGCGGTGGGGGTCAGGCACTTAAACCTCTTACTGTTACCTCCCACCTCCAGGGGCTACGGAGAGAGGGCTGTCCTCCCTTCCAGGCCTCAGTGGGTAGACTCCAGATAGGCACCCCTCAGGGAGCTCGGGGTCCTCCACTCCGCCATCCCCTTCCTGGGAAGGTGCATTGCTTCCAACATGTGCAACAGGGCTCCTCCCGGGACGCCAAGCTGGGCAGGGCGGGGGAGGTGAGGTGGCCCCCTCCTATGCTGGGGTGGTACTGGGGTCAAATTGCATAGACTTGTCCCCCCAAATGGGGCGGCCTGAGGGCCGAAAGACCAAGTCCCCAGTGCCAGAGAGCAAGAGCCAGTCCTGGGGGCTGTGGGGAGGGCACGCAGGACAAGGTCGGCTCGCAAGACCCTGCAGAGGGGTGTGTGTCCCAAAGTACCTGCACTGCATCCCTGGCGATGCCGGGGGGCCTCCCACGAAATCTTCTGCCCTCATCGGTGGCTCTACTGCCTGCCCTGACCTCCATCAAGATCTCTGTCACCCGAGGCTGGGGTCTTCGCCATCTCCCTTTCCCACCAGCACCTGCCACCCTGCTTTGGCAAACACCATCCGTGGGGGGCTGGCTAATGTCCCCAGGAAGAGATGGCCTTGCTAGGTGTCCTGCCCCATTTGTCCATCGGCGCTGGGCATGGATGCCAGGTTGGCTCACCTGGTGTCTGGGCAGCGTCGGGGCCTTGGGGAGCAGGCAGGCAGCGGGCATCTGTCCTTCTGGAGCAGCAGGTGGAACGGAGATGAATAACTTAGGAAAGGTGCCCCCGTCTTGTGCCAGGTCCCCTGTGGGTGGCAGGGCGTGGGTCCTCCAGTTCTGCGGCCGTAGCATTCCAAGAGCTGGGAACCATGCTGTCTTTACCTTCTGTCTTCTTGGTCAGGTGGGTTTTTTTTTTTTTGTTTTTCCTTTTCCTCCTGCATGTGTATGTCTGTGGGTTTTGTCTTTTCGGCCAGGCTGGGAGTCGGCAGGGGTGTTCTTGCTCACTCTAATATTCCACTGAAAATGGGGGCTGCGGGGCTGGCGGTGGTGCCCCCGGGATTCCCGGGACGATGGAGAAGAGGCGTGGGGCGAAGACCTTTGCTATCCCAGATACCAGGACTGAGTGCCGACGGGCACGGGGAGAGGGAGAGAGAGAGGGAGAGAGAGAGAGAGAGAGAGAGAGAGAGAGAGAGAGAGAGAGAGAGAGAGAGAGATGGGGCATCAGACTCTGCTACTGACCCTGTCGGTCTTTCCCCACACCACCCACCCCCTCCTGCAATCCAGTGGTCTCCGCTGCCCCACTCCAGACCACAGAAAAACAGCTGTGTGACCCTGGGCAAGTGCCTTTGCCTCTGAACAGCGCTGTCAGATAAAACACAGGATGTCCTGCGACATTTCAAGCCCCAGATAAACACAGAATTCTGTTAGTGAAGTATATCCCATGGGATTAGGGGCAGACTCGTGTAGCCGTCATACGTACATCCCACACAACTTTGGGATATACTCATACTAGGATATGGCTGCCTTTATCTGGAGATCAAATGGCACTGACCCCCATTTTTACTTCTAATGCCAGGCTCCTGACCACTGGGCCTCATAGCCATGCTTGTAAAATGAGGTACAGGGAGGTTTCTGGTGAGGAGGGCATGTGGCTCTGTCCTTGGTCCCCAAGCCCAGCACATGGAACTAATGAGTAGACACACAGGGAGAGCCGCCCTACGAGATGCTCTGACCATCCCCGGGTACCGGGGACGGACCCCAGGGCCTCCTACATGGGACCACTTGAGCCACACCCCGGGCCTTTGCTTTTGATGTCTTGTTTTTTGTTTGGCAGCACTGGGGTTTGAACTCAGGGCCTCACACTTGCTGGGCAGGTTCTTTAGCACTTGAGCCCCGCCCCCAGCTGTTTTCAATTTCTTTCTCAGCAATCATTTTTCCATTCAATGATTCCCTGCGTCCCCAGCCTCCATGAAGGAAGAGCAAAGGCAGTGAACAAAATGGGGCTCAGAAAAGTCAAGTAACTTGCCCAAGGCGACCAGCATGGAAGTGGTGAAACAGGAATTCCATGTCTGGCCCGCCTGGCTCCAGATTTCATTTCTGTCCCTCCCCACGGGGTCCCTCAGCCTGCCCCTCAGGACTCCTGGCTGCCATGACAGCACTGCCTCACAGTCCTAGTGTTCTCCGCCCCCATGCTGTCAACCTGGTCTTCTGGGATGTCCCCTTGCCTCCACATGAGAGGGGACACTGAGGTCAGGCACAGGATGCCTGTGCTGCCCAGGAGGGCTGTGTCAATGGGGACAGCTCTGGCTTCAGTCTCCACAGAGGGCCTGACCCTAGTGTCCAGCCTCCAGCCTCCAGCCTCCAGGAGACACCCTGCTCTCCCACTGTCCCCACCCTGCCCTGCTGTAAATCAATGGCGTCTCCTCCACCCAGGCAGCAGCAGCTGCTAGACTATCCTATCGAGCTGGCGCCGTGCTTCCAGCCCCCACCTCCAGCCAAGTTCAAGTTCATCTTGGCCATTACCTCATGTCTGGTTTCTGCTGGCAACCAGACAGGCTCTGGGTGTGACCCTCCGGAGGTGCTGGACGGCCCCCTTGGCCTTTCCTCCTTCTTCCCTCCCCAGGGTGGCTGTCTGCCTGGCGCGGGCCCTCAGGATGGGGGTGGGGTGGGATAGCACCATCCACCAGGCAGAGGGGGACCAAGGTGGTGCAGGGTGATGCCCGGGCTCCGGCATCCCTGGCCTGGCTGTGGCTGCCCCCTGTGGCTTTGGGCCTGTGGCCCAATCCTCTGACCCTTGGCTTGCTCATCTGCTGGATGGGGTGGCGGGGGCTCTGTGGGAATTAGAGGCTGGGGTGAAGTGCTGGGGGCCAGAGTGTCCCAGCAGGTCCCATTCTATAGTCCACAGAGGTGGCTGCCTCAGGACTGAGGAGACAGATGAGAAAGACACCATGGAGGGGTGGATCTGGGGAGGGAGGGCAATCGACCACAGAGGGGGATCGATTGGTATTGATCACGGGGCTGCCAGGCCCACGGAGAGGGAGCAGGACTGCGGTGTGGGGTTGGGGAGGAGGGGTGGAGGGAAGCAGAGCCAGGAATAATAAGGAGGCTGAGGAAGTGCTGACGGAGCTGGAATCAGCCAGGAGGCCCTGAGCCCCAGAGCAGGGTCTCTCTGCTGCCTTTGACTGCCCACCCACTCACCTCATCTGCAGGCAGGGGCAGCACTGACCTTTCTCTGGGTCCAGGGCAGCCTCAGTGGGGCCCATCCCTCTCCAGTCTATGCTTCCTTGAGAGCCTCCCCACCATCTGACTCTTGTCTTCCCTGCCCCAGAAGGTTCTTTCTAAATCCTAAATCCCTCACCCTAAATCCTTCCATAGCTCCCCAATGCCCCCAGGGTAAAGCCCGTGTCTGTCTGTCTGTCTGTCTGTCAGACTGCTACATTCTTGTCTGTGCCGAGCACCCCACCCTGCCTGGGGTCTTCAGCTGACTTGAGTGTCTGCTCTCTTCTCTGCCAGCTGCATGTGGGCTCTTGTCAGCCCTGTCCTACTTTCTCTGGGTCCCATGAGGGGTCCAGTTGGCCAAAAGAAGGGTGCGGAGCTTGCCTGCCTCAGTTTCCTTCCCCTCTCAGGTGGGTGCAGGCTTGGAGCTGGCACAGCTCAGAAAGCAGGGTCCTGGCCTAGTGGGAGGGGATGGTGAGAATGCAATGTCCAGTGCAGAGCCTGGCCCACAGGGGAGGAAGGATAGAGGGAGGCTGGGGAGGACAGGGCACCCAGCCTCCTCATCCTTCCCTTAGCCTTGGCTTCGAAAGCAGTCTGGATGCTCCCAGCTCCCCATAGGAATCCTGGCTCTACCAGTGCCAGGAGGCTGAGGGTGGGCTGCCCTGGGGCCGCCCCAGCTGGCTGAGTGGCCTGACCAAGTTACTATCTGAGATGTGTGGGGAGGCCGTGGCCTTTTGGCACCCTTCAAAGGCTGCCTGGGAGGTGCCCAGAGGCAGAGGAAGAGACTTGAGGTTCACAGCGGGTGCGGCAAAGTTGGGTCAGAGCCTTGGTCTACCCCAGCCTAGCAGAAGTGGTGGAGTCCTGTGCTCTACTAGGGCCTGGTGTTGTGGAAAAGAGGGAGGGAGGCCAGTGGAGCCCGGAAGTAGAGGGCGAAGCTCCTGCAGCAGCCCCCCCACCGCTAAGGCCTGTCCAGGGAGGGAAGGGGCTGCAGGGTCCCCACACATACACTTGGGCCCTCACTGCCGGCAGCAACCTGGACAGCTTGAAGGGTGTTCAGGCAGCCAGGTACAGCTGCAGACAGGGACAGGGACATCTAATGGCTTCTTCTCTGACCTCAGCCTGTGGCTGGAGGGTCCCATTCAGAGCTGCTCTCTCTGAGCCTCTGGGCCTCTGAGAATGGGAGCAGTGACTCATTTTCCTTGGCTGCTTTCTAGACCCACAATCCACTCCCCAACACAGACTGGGAAGCTGAGGTTCTTGGGTTCACCTTTGGGTTCTCAGACGAGAACCTCTGACCAGAGGGCAGGTGTGGGGGATACTTGGGCCTGGGGCTGAGACCCCTCTTACCCCTGGGTCTCTGCTCCCACTGCTGGGTGGCCTCAGGCAACTCGCTGACCCTCTCTGAGCCTCCTCTGGTACCCTAGACCTCCTGCCTTCTGGGGTGTGGGCCTGGCTCCTGGCTGGTGTGCATTTCTTCTGTTCCAGTTTGTCTGTGCTGTCTAGGAAACCCCCTCCTCACACTTGCTGTGTCACTTGCTGGGACCTGGGGTAGGTCTGAGATACTGTCCTGGGAGGGAGGTCTCACCCCACGACATGGGCTGCCTCATTTCCCCACCTGCCCTGGGCTCTGTCCCCCTTCTCCCCTAGGCCCTCTTGGGGGCACCACAGGGAACGGAGGCTGGGGCGGGAGGTTCTGGCTGACATGCTGTGTGACCCTGGGCCAATTCCCTTACTTTTCTGGGCCTTGGTTTTCCCATCTGTACAAATGGGCCCTGGACCTCTGCCTTGACAGTCTCTTGGGGGGTGGGAGATGCCATTAGGGAAGGGGCTGGCAGGGTTGGGGGCATGTCACACCCTGGGGTGGCCTCTGAGGCCAAGGCAGAGGGAGTCTGATTGTGCGGGGCCCTTGAGCCTGGGGGAAAAGTCAGCTAGGGGCTCGAGGCCGTGGTGGGGAGTGGGAGGCTGGCCCCCCCAACTGTCAAGGACCATGGCACCAGGGGCGTGGCCCGGGCCGGCAGACCTGGTGTTCCTGAGCCCCCCAGGCCGGACCTCCTCCCTGCCACCCACCCCCCAGCCGGCCTCTCGGCGCCTACCTGTGCCTCATAAACGCCCGCAGGATCCCTTGGCTCTAATCCCACAAAGGAACGGTTTGCAGGGGACGTGTCGGGCGCAGAGTAGGCTGCAGGGAGGAGAGAGACCGAGAGCCCGTTAGCGCGGGGCACAGGGGACAGGGCTGCCCGGGGTCACACAGCCAGCCCTTTGCACCCAGCTCCTGGGGCTGGAGCCTGCTGCCCTCTCCTGGCTCATCCGACACCCCAAAAAGCCTGAGGTCCTGGGGAGCCAGGGATCCTGACTCCAGGGGTACCCCAGGGATCCCGGCTGAGGCTGGCGAGGTGGGTGGGGCATCTGCTGAAGGGATGGCAGAGGACAAAAGATTCAGAATCCAAAAGCCGCCTGTGAATTATTCAGGATGCTACTCCGGCCGACGTCCTGGGCTGCGGTGCGGCCATGAATTATTGAGGCCGTTTCATTTATTAATCTTCCTCCCGGGGAGGGCACCGGGAAGCTAGGGTTGTGCCTGCACATCTTCCTACCTGTTCTATTTTAACCTCGTCCAGGGTGAACAACTCAGGGCCCAGGCCACATGGACAGGCTGGGACCCAGGTGGTGGCCACAGGCAGGGTCCTTGTGTGGTCTCAGCCAGAGTAGGATAAGCAGGTGGCATGGAGGCCCCGAGGGCTGAGGAAGGAGGGGCAGATTTGCAGTTAAGAGCCCTGGTGTAGGGGAAGGAGGGAATCCATGTCTACTTCTACATCTATAAGCACCTACTGTATGCCAGGCACTGGGCACAATCCCAGGTTTTTTCTTTCCTTGGTGGTGCTAGGACTGACCCTGGGGCCTTGTGTCCCCAGACCCTACCAAGCTCCGGCCACAGGGATCACCCCCTCACTCCGTGGGCTTGATCCACAAACACTTCCTGTCCCCACTGCGCACAGGGGAAGAAGGGAAGTTTTCCGCACCCACCATGGACGCCCACTCTCTGTCTGATGTCACAGTCAGTGTCCCTGACCTACCTCACCAGCTCACCACCCTACCTGTTGGATGCTGTGATCAACTGATTTGCAGCTAGAAAACCGAGGCTCAGAGAGGGTGAGGCGTTTGCTCAAGTTCACACAGGGTGTTTTAGGCTAATTCCTTTGGGCCGAGCAGGCACCTGGCCAGAGTTCAGAAAAGGCCCTTAGGCAAAGCTGCCTGGCAGGCAGTGGGGGCCAGGAAGACCAGCTGGGGTGGGGGTGGAAGTGGAGGTGGGGGACTGGCTGTAGGGACTGGAAGCCCAAAGGATGTGTGGCTCCTCTTGCCGGGCACTGAGCGGAATCCCATCTGGGGACTGAGGGACAGAGCCAGCAGGGAGGAGCTGCGGGCTCTGCAATGCTTCCCTGGGGAACCAGGCCTCGGAGGAGACAGGGTGTCCTGGGCACTGGGTTCCAGGTAGACAGTGGCTCAGAGGGAAGGACAGCCACCTGTGCAGCCAGAAGGAAGAAGAAGGGTCCATGCTAGTGTCACAGGGAGGCAGGGGCAAAACCCCACACCGGGATCCCAGGAGAGGCCAATACACTGTAATCCAAAGCACAGAAGAGCCTAGAAGGTGGGGGCTCCCAGGGCCAGGTGCACAGGGGGGGAGGACTGTCTCCTCTAAGTCCAAGTCACCTGAAGGAAGGGGCCCAGTGTAGCCTGTTCCATCCCAAGAAGCCAGAACTCTGGAACTTTTACATGACACACCCCAATTTTAGAACAACAGCGACAGATTCTCATTTTCCACAGAGACCTGGGGTGGTCCCTGGGCCACCAGTCTGAGATCCGGGTCCTCTGACGGGTGCTTGCGGTCACTTGGGCACATGGCAAGAGGGGTACATCCTACCCTCTCACCCTGGCCCAAGGCTCATCCTGCCATCCCGAGGCTGTCCTGGCCCCACGTGGTCCCCAGGCCACCACGCGGAGACCCACGGAACTGGCCCGTGCCCGCCAGCTGGGCTCAGGGGCCCTTGGGGACGGGGGCACAGCTCCCGCCTGCTTACTGGGCGTGGTGTGCAGCGTGGCTCCTCCTGCGGAGGTGGCGGCGGGTTTGGTGGCAGGGGGGAGCAGCCTGGGGGGCGGAGGCGCCAGCATGGGCGTGGGAAGGCAGTAACTGGACATTTTGAGCTGAACGCTTCCATTTAACTGGGGGAACAGAGAGACATGTGGTTAACGGTGGCGTCCCCTCCACCTTGCGATGCTGGCGCCGACGCCTCCGGCTCTGTCCTGGCCGAGTAGGGGTGCAACTGGGCAGTATTAGGACAGGGTGTGGACAGGACTGCGGCCCGGATGGTAGGTCCAAGAGTGGCCAGAGGCAGAGGAACCTGGGGACGGCTCACTGGCATCACCTGAACCCCACCATTACTGGGGTCATGCACACCTCACCTCCTCCTCAGGCCACCCATGCAGGACTTGCTTTCTTTTTCACACAATGCCATCGCACACCAAACAACACCTGCACGTTTCCCTAACTCACTTCAAGGACATGGTCTCCTGGGACCTTGCCCGTGGACCCCCAAATCCACATGTTCCAAATGCCACACGAGTTTGTGAGCCTTGGGCACACACAGGCCTGAACCGAAGCTGGGGTTTCTCTGTTGGTTTCTACTTGTCCCCAAGCCCCGTGTCTGCCCATGTGACCTGCTATAGCCCTTAGGCTGTCAGGTCACAGGGGCTGCTGAGCTCCTGTTGTCCCCAAGTGCCACAAACACAGGTGTCTGGGGAAGTCTGAAGTCAGCTAATCCAAAACAGACTCCAAGTGTCACAGAAAAGGGGGCTCCAGACCCACAAGCGTAAAGCCCAGTAATGTAGAGACTACATGTTCAAGTGTGGCTGAGTGACAAGCTGAGGCCCCCAGGGTCACCTGGAGCCACCAGAGAGGCCCACGCCCCGCACACTCACCGGTCCAGGCTGCTGGCTGGCTGGGTCGCAGGCAAGTGACACGAGATCTTTGAGTGGGTCCTGGGGGTTGAGATGCGGTGGGTACCGGATGGCCGTGTGGGGGAAGTAGGTGGACGCTGTCTGGGGCAGGATGGATGTGGTGGGAAAGTGCAGGGCTGAGGATGGGTGGGGACTCCGAGCAATTCCTGCAGAGGGAGACAGCAAAGGTGGGAGGTCACCAGGGCTGCAGCTGGTGACAGCGTGTTCGTGCCTGTGGTTTACACTTGCACACTGGTACATTTAACTTAATAGCAGTAACAGTGACATCCACCAGCATCAGCCCCAGCCCAGGTGCTGCTGTCACTTGTACCCCAAAATCCCCTGACACCCATGATAACCCTATAGAGTTCCCATCCCACTCCCCACCTCTTTTTGAGACAGGGGCTCAAAAGGCCCAGTTTGACCTTGAACTCATGATCCTCCTGCTGCTGCCTCCTGAGCACTGGGATTGTAGGCTGGGCCACCATACTTGATGCTACTGTTTTTTTTAAAGTACTGCGATTTGAATTCAGGACCTCCTGCTTGCTAGGCAGGCACTCTACAGCCTGAGCCATGACCCAGTCCTCTGTTTTTTTTTTTTGCTGTAGTTATTGTTCAGATGGGTTTCGTGCTTTTTACCTGGGGCTGGCCTCAGACCACGATCCTCCTACTTATGTCTCCCACGTAGCTGGGAGCATGGGTGTGTACCACAATGGCCAGCTTACTGGTTGAGATGGGTCTGGCTAACTCTTTGCCGCAGGACACCTTCAACCACATCCTTCGGATCTCTGCCTCTCTAGCAGGCGAGGTTACAGGTGTAAGCACCTGGCAGTGTTTTTTCTTTTTTTTGAATTTTTTAAAGCAGAAATACAGTTGACCCTCCATATCCTTGGGGTCCACATCTTGGGTAGAAAATATTGGGAAGCAAAAAAGAATTCTCTGTCCTGAACATGCACAAACGTTTTTTTCCCTCATTATCATTCCCAGCTGATAGTGTGACAACCTATGCACACAGCACTGACGTCGTATCAGGTGCTGTGAGTCCCTGGAGATGGAAGGTCTCGGGAGTCCTGGAACTGGTCACCTGTGGACACACATGGGCGACTGTATAATCTGCCTATCATAAAGTTCACCCACTTAAAAGTGTACAACTCAGGATGAATTCAACCGTTACATAGTGTAAGAACTTTTGTAGCCGGGCACCGGTGGCTCACACCTGTAATCCCAGCTACTCAGGAGGCAGAGATCAGGAGGATCGAGGTTCAAAGCCAGCTGGGGAAAACAGTCTGCGAGACCCTATCTAGAGAAACCCTTCACAAAAAAAGGGCTGGTGGAGTGGCTTAAGGCGCAGGGTCTGAATTCAAAGCCCAGTGCTGAAAAAACAAAACTCAAATGCATTTCTGCCTAGGGCTGGGGGTATGGCTCAAGTGGTAGAGGGCCTGTCTAGCAATCATGAGGCCCTGAGTTCAAGCCCCAATACTGCCAAAAAAAAAAAAAAAAAAAAAAAAACACAAACAAAACCAAAAAAAAACTTTTGCAAATGTCACAATGTACCCTCAGAACAACAAAAAAATAGAAAAAAGTGCACAATTTGGTAGCTTTTAGTATTTTCACAAAGTTGTGCAGCCATCACCTCTCTCAAGTTCCAGAACATTTTATCACTCCAAAAAGCAAGCCTGTCCCCCTGAGCAGTGGCCCTGTCCCTCCCCAGCCCCTGGCCCCCACGAGTCCACATCCTGTATCTGGATCCTGTTCTGGACATTTCCTATCTATGGAGCCACAAGCTGTGTGCTTGTGTGTCTGCTTCTCACTGAGCAGTGGTCCTCAAGGCTCCTCTTCTTGTAGCCTAGGTCACAGACTTGCTCTTGTTCATGGATAAGTAAGTGGTGTTTGCTTTCACTTCTTTCTAAACAACACACCGATTTTTGGTTCATTCTCTCTCTAAAACAGTTGGCCTAAGGAGACAGTAAATATTTCTGGCTGTGTAGGCCACAGGTCTCTGCTACAGCTACTCATTTCTGCCATCCTAGTATAGAAGCAGCTATAATGATGCACAAATTGGAGGCCAAGGCCATGTCTCAGTAAAACTTTATTTACAAAGAATAAGCAGCCAGGCTCCATAGTTTGCCAACCACTGGGTCAAATCACTGTGCTGTTTAGACTTGCACCTGCCTCCTTGTGTTTGTATCTTCGAGTGGAAATAATAATCTGTCACCCTCAAACCTACAGCCAGCATTATACTTAACGGAGAAAAACTGAAACCATTCCCTCTAAAATCAGGAAGGAGACAAGGATGCCCACTATCTCCACTCCTATTCAACATAGTACTGGAATTCCTAGCCAGAGCAATTAGGCAAGAAGAAGGAATAAAAGGAATACAAATAGGTAAAGAAACTGTCAAAATATCCCTATTTGCAGACGACATGATCCTATACCTTAAAGACCAAAAAAACTCTACTCAAAAGCTTCTAGACACCATCAACAGCTATAGCAAGGTAGCAGGATATAAAATCACATAGAAAAAAAATTCATTAGCATTTCTATACACTAATAATGAACAAACTGAGAAAGAATATATGAAAACAATTCCATTTACAATAGCCTCAAAAAAAACCCCCAAATACCTAGGTGTAAACCTAACAAAGGATATGAATGACCTCTACAAGGAGAATTACAAACCACTGAAGAAAGAGATTGAGGAAGACTATAGAAAGTGGAGAGATCTCCCATGCTCATGGATTGGTAGAATCAACATAGTAAAAATGTCTATACTCCCAAAAGCAATCTACATGTTTAGTGTAATTCCCATCAAAATCCCAATGATATTCATCACAGAGATTGAAAAATCTATCCTAAAGTTCATTTGGAAACATGAAAGACCACGAATAGCCAAGGCAATACTCAGCAAAAAGAACAATGCTGGAGGTATCACAATACCTGACTTCAAACTATATTACAAAGCAATAACAATAAAAACAGCATGGTACTGGCACAAAAACAGACATGAAGACCAGTGGAACAGAACAGAGGACCCAGATATGAAGCCACACAACTATAACCAACTTGTCTTTGACAAAGGAGCTAAAAATATACGATGGAGAAAAAGCAGTCTCTTCAACAAAAACTGCTGGCAAAACTGGTTAGCAGTCTGCAAAAAACTGAAACTAGATCCATGTATATCACCCTATACCAGTATTAACTCAAAATGGATCAAGGATCTTAATATAAGACCACAAACTCTCAAGTTGGAAAGAGTAGGAAATACTTTGCAACTAACAGGTATAGGCAAGGAGTTTCTCAATGGAACCCCAGTAGCTCAGCAACTAAGAGATAGCATAGATAAATGGGACCTCATAAAACTAAAAAGCTTCTGCTCAACAAAAGAAATGGTCTCTAAACTGAAGAGAGCACCCACAGAGTGAGAGAAAATATTTGCCAGGTACACATCAGACAAAGGACTGATAACCAGAATATATAGGGAACTCAAAAAACTAAATTCTCCCAAAAATTAATGAACCAATAAAGAAATGGGCAAATGAACTAAACAGAACTTTCTCACAAGAAGAAATTCAAATGGCCAAAAAACACATGAAAAAATGCTCACCATCTCTAGCAATAAAGGAAATGCAAGTTAAAACCACACTAAGATTCCACCTCACCCTGTTAGAATAGCCATCATCAGCAACATCACCAACAACAGGAGTTGGCGAGGATGCGGGGAAAAAGGAACCCTCTTACACTGTTGGTGGGAATGTAGACTAGTACAACCACTCTGGAAAAAAATTTGGAGGCTACTTAAAAAGCTAGACATTGATCTACCATTTGATCCAGCAATACCACTCTTGGGGATATATCCAAAAGACTGTGACACAGATTACTCCAGAGGCACCTGCACACCCATGTTTATTGCGGCACTATTCACAATAGCCAAGTTATGGAAACAGCCAAGATGCCCCACTACTGACGAGTGGATTAAGAAAATGTGGTGTCTCTACACAATGGAATACTACTCAGCCTTGAAGAAGAACGAAATCTTATCATTTGCAGGTAAATGGATGGAACTGGAGAACATCATTCTGAACGAGGTTAGCCAGGCCCAGAAGATCAAAAACCATATGTTCTCCCTCATATGTGGACATTAGATCAAGGGCACTTTGAGCACATGATCAAGGG